GTACTAAATATAGTCAAACCAAACCCTAATGAAACCAAATTGAAACCAAGTGTGCTTGATGAAGTTTCTCTGCGATCTTTGTGTTGAGGTCTTTATGGCAGGCTGCCGAAAGCCTTTGAGGTTAATAGCCTCTGATCAATAAGGAACCAAATGCAGGACTTATTCCATTGCATGGTACTTTTCCATTTGGAAATTCTATTTAACTTGGGCAGTGGTTTGGTTTGTCTTCAGCAAACAGTACAATAGAAGAGGATCTTTCAAAGACTAACTGTGAGTCACTCGTAACTACAAGCCTCAATTTGTCTAAGTAGAGAAAAAGGCCACTGGGTTTGTTCATATTTCATAAAACAGTAGGTTTTCAGCAGCTACAGTGAAAAACAATAAGTGTTCACACATGGACAGCTGTGATTGTAGGCTGCAACAGCTGACATTAAATTTAAATTTACCATCTTACTAAAGTGTAACCTCATGCTCTCGTCACACAACCATTCGACACAGCACAGGATTTAAGCATCACCTGGGAATTTAGTTTATTCACTGAGGAAGGAACTGTAATCAAACAGACGCCACTGATGCTGGTACTTTATGAAAACGAACCATGTCCTAAATACACGCAAATACCTTATGTAATACCTCTCACAAGACAAAGAACAGGAAGAAAAAAGATGAACTGACCTTCATTCCTGGAGGTCCAGCTGGTCCAGGCGGACAAATGCACGGCTCCTGTGTCGGTTCCGTATAATCTGGACTGTTGGAGCACTGCAGTTGAATAGAGAATATTCATAAAGATTAGAAACTTTTTCAAACATTTTGGTCTTTAAAAATCTTTAAAACATCTTGTCATATATATATATATATATATATATATATATATATATATATACAGTATATATAGATGTAGATAAATATCAATGTGTAACCTACTTAAATCTGTTCACAATAAATTTGTATTTTAACACAAGCCATAAATATCTTTGTCACTTGAAATAGAATTCTGTGAGATTTTGCCAGAGTCACGCAAGTGTTCGCTTTGAAACTGAAATTGATGACTGAACTTGGAGATTCCATTGCAAAACAAGCCATTGAAAACCCCACACAGAGAGTGTGGGGTGAGTGGGTGGGCGGGGTAAGAGAGGTTAGCAGCAAGCTTTAGTCACATAAGACTTCTTCACTTCTCTCCTTTTGATATTTATCCAGCAGCTCTTCATATTACAAACAGTAAATTCAAACTGGTTTTGTGGTAACAGCAGTTTCCAAATCAACAGAACAATGATCCACTGCTTCACTGACACATTTCATGCCAGGAGATAGTGAAAAAAATCTGCTGCTCGCACCATGTTTGAAGCTCTGCCATGTTCGCCTCCTCCCGCACATTATCTGTTGCATAAACAGATGTGCTTTAAAATGAATATGCTGAGTTCACAGCTTCAATGCAAAATTATCAGTACAGCACTCTCCTGAAATGTAAAGCAGGGACGCTTCATTTTTTCTCCGTGCAGAGTGAGGGTGGTGAGCGATAAGTGATAATAAAATCTCTGGCAGAAACTGTGCAGGGAGTTTCAGTGCAGAAGCAGATGTGAAGGATAAAGGTGAGAAGTCAGTACAAAAGAAGTCCAAGTGTTGCCTTTGGATTGTGAAGCCAAACTGAAAGCTTGTACTTACAACTCCTGGTATTTCACATGCAGTCTCTCGGTTGTTCTGCTCCGGGTCACAATATATACGTAGCTTCTGAATTTCAAACTGAAAAGATGTGTAGAAGAAAACCAAAGTAAAACATTCAGTTGTAACATGAAACAAAACCAGGGTTCAAAGTTGTGAACAAGCAAATAAACACAAATGCTTTGTTTTTGTCTTAATTAAAATGTAACATTTAGGTGTTAAATCACTTGCATATTTTGAATACAGCCCAGATCTGGACTGCAGGCAGGTCAGTCAAGAGACCACTCTTTAGATTTTTGTACAATAAGAGACCTGACATTACTGTATCTTGATAAAAACAAAGTGATTTCTTTAAATAAGCAGTCATGCCAAATGAAGAACATTTATGACCCTTGTCAGCAGTGGTCCCTGACACAGATCCACATGCTGATTCATCTGTAAATATATCTGTTATTTTGCATAGCAGTCTCTATAGTAATGCAACCTTAGTCTCAGAAGGTAACTCCAAGCTATTCTTGTAGCATTTTTAAGGAAAATCCAAAGGAAGGAACACGCTGCCAGACCTCCATCAGTGGTTGGAAGTGTTGGACTCCTCTACTTGGTATTTAGTTCAATGTTAGTGATAATATTGCTCCAGAACGATTTCAATTCAGGGCGAGCAGGAATACGATCAACACATATGGTTTTTATTAATTCCAGACCAAACACTATCGTGACCTCAGAGCGAGGGCAGAGATACGGTCTAAAACAACGTGGTTAACATCTTGATAACAGCGGTTTTAGTTTGGTGGCGTTTCAGAAAAAAGAGGCTTGTTTCGATTTGATAGTTTATGCTAATGTGTCTTTTTTTTTCTTCAATTGCATTGTGTTGCAACTGTGGTGCTCCAATGGGCCCAGTTACAGAAATGTGTTTTGAGTTAGGTGAGGTTTTCTTACATACAGTATTACTGTTATTACAGTCACTCTGCTAAGTTCTGTATAACTAATGATCCTCAAAACAGTGGGTCATTACAAACAATGGCGTCTGCTGGCATTGGCCAGTCTGACGATGTGTCATCACAGGCTCTGTTGTAAAAAAGTCATGAATGAATAATAATCTGTCGTCTCTCTTTCGTTCTGTTTTACACAAAAAATAATCAGGCTACTTAGAAATATGGCACACGTCTCCACTTCTGATTAAATAATGCTTGTTTTTAGTATATTTTACAGTCACTGCTCAATGAACCCACAGCTTTGGTTGAGAAATGGCAGCATTATTTGATTTTGATTTATTTTTCATGTGTTGTATTTCACTATGACCTTAACTTAACCATCGGTGCCAAACCTGCAGTAAGAGCTAACATATGTGTTTTTGGGTGTGTTACATCATCAGTGTTGTTTCACAGTAAAATATGTGACGTCATAGTGACAACTTGAATTATTATGGTTCGTTGAAGAACTCAGTGTAAATATAACCTACATATCGATTTTTAAGGAAATACTTCTTCAACAACCACAAATTGTGTTTATTTATTTATTTTTTCAATTAAACTCCATCCATTGTATTTGTTGTGATAATACCAGGCCACACTGAACAAATCTGACTTTTCAATGGCAGTCTGATCAGATTCAGAAATGTCTCAGCTATAAGTAAATATTAAAGTTCTGCAGTGGATGTATTGATTATTGGTTTGTGGTTGACAGTTCTGCCTACAGATAAAATCCACATCCTGTCTGCAAATGTCGGAAAACATCGTAAAGACGAGAATCGTAGAGTTAGACAACAGAACAGTCTTTGATGTGGCTGGAATGGGCAAAAATCGATAAATTCTTCTCGCAAAACTGGGACCTTTGGTTTCCACAAATCCAACAATTAAAAAGTGATTAACAGAAAAGGGAATGTGACTAATGGAAAACGTTCCTTATTTGGAGAGGACCACAGTAGTTATTTCTCAAAGAGACCCCAATAAAGACAGAAAACACTGAGCGTTCTTTGTCCTCTGGTGTGATTGGAGTGGGGTTCAAGTTCAACACAAAATTGCAAATTCTAGTTCCCATTCTTTGCAGTGATACTTGTCTTTACTACGTTACTACTTCGAAGATGTTAATTTACTGATAGATCTTCAGTCTGTGTCAGAAGAAAGTGTTTCTGAACTTACAGGGACTGTCGTCTCTTTTCGGAAATATTTTCCGACTTGGGTCTTTCCACTGATGAAGATGCCAGCGGGGGCCTCCAAGGCCAGAGTCTCTATCAGCAGGTCATCAATGTAAAGAGTAACATCCTCCTCAGTGACCAGCAGTCGCAGCTGGTGCCATTTCTCATCAAACAGCTGGTTTTGTCATTGGACATTAAGGACGAGAGCAGTCATTAATAAAAAAAAGCTTGTGCTCTGACAAATGAAAAAGTAAAATCTAATGTTGAAATAGTAAAGTCGAGAGAACACAGTGAGTGTCGTTCTACCTTTCCTGTCAGCTGCCTAAATGTAACCGTCTGCGTTCCTTCTGGTGATTTGCTGGTGGTGGTGAACATGACGGTGCGATCGATCCCATTTAGAGTCACGGCCATCTGTGTTTTTCCGTCCCATGTTTGTATTCTCCAGAGGTCCCACCACTCAGCTAATACTGAGCCTTTGTACTTCAGAGTGGCCACAAACACGTAGGACGGAGGGAGACCGTCAGGGAAGAGAGACCTGGGTGGACATAGAGGACAGAGTTTTAAAAAGCAGTGCTGATGATAAGGATGATATTAAAGGTAGAGCATCACCTTGTGGCTTCACTCAGGTCCAGACGAGGCGTCACCTCATAGGCCTTAACGCCATAATAGGCTCCTTGTGTCTTCTTTGCCTTTTTGGCCAAATTTAAATGCAGCAAGATATCGAAACCCTTCTCGTCACGGGAATCTACAGGAATTTTTGCGGCACAGACGGTCTCTGCAGAGAGACAAGACAATAAATACACAAACGTGTCTCAATAAAAAGAAGCATCAATAGCTGGAAAACCAATACAGAAATGTTTAAATATCTCTGCAGGAAATGACTGAAACCTCCAAACACTAATTAGCAGCATCTCACCTTCACACAGTTTCTGTCGTATCACCTGTATGATCCTGGAAATAGCTTTATAGTCCACGACAGAGAAGACGTAGGTCGTGGATGGCTTGTTCGCAATGTCCCTCAATTCGGCTTCCTCCGTCTCTGACCCAACACCGATAGCAAAGAGAATTACTCCTTTTTTCCTAGCAGCCTCCGCTGCCTTCAGAACCTCATCTTGAGACTTCCCATCTGTGAGGACAACAGCGATTCTGGATATGCCCAGTGGGCTGCGTTCAGAGAGGTCAAAGAGTTTGTCCATGGCAAACTTAATGGCTGTGCCTGTCCTCGTGTTCCCCCCCATGTACTCGATGGACTCCATTGCTTCGATGAGGTTTTTGGTTGAGGCAAACTTCCCCAGAGGGATTTCCAAAACAGGGTCATCGCTGTACTGGACCACTCCCACCTGGGTGAACTTCTGCCCAATATTGAAGGACGATGTAATATTGACCAGCCATTTCTTTACTATTTCAAAATTGACATCTTCGACACTCCATGAGCCGTCTAAGATGAAGACCAAATCACATGGTGCCGTCCTGCAACCTGGAAAAGACAGGCGATAAACAGAAGGCCAGGTGTAACAGTGGTTTAATACAAAAACCCTCACATTGAGTTTATGAAATTAAATGGTAAAAAAATGCATTTGCAGTACATTGCTGGTTACATGAATTAGACATCATTTTAATGTATGGACAAGCATGGAGACAAATGGATAAAATGAAGACAGAAGCATTCTTACTTCTTATGTCTTCATCTTGAGCTGCGTTAAACAAATGGAGAAGCATGAAGCACAGGCATCTTAAGACACAATGCATGGATGTCGCTTTGTAACCCATTATGCAGCAGTACCAAGTTCCAGTTGTGCACCTAAGGGGAAAGGGACAAACATGCTTTGTATTGCAGGGGAATAAAAAGAAAAAGACAATGCAAGCCTTTGTGACATTTAGTTATTTTTGCCTTGAAAGGAGTTAATAAAATAAAATAAAAATATATAAATAAAATAAATAACTAGAGCCTTAGAATGCTTCTATTACATTAGTGTCTGGTGCTATTTTTGTAGGACACTTTCTTGTCTCTCTCTATTTCATGATGAAGTTGAATCACATACATTCATATCAGACCCAGCTTTTGGCATCAGTCATGTAAGTGGTTGCCTATAGCGCCACCTGCTGGATGGGGTGCAGCTGCAGGTCTTTACAAAAACAGTAAAACTTTGAAAATTAACTGATGATTTTTACTCATCTTTTGTATTGAAAAAATATGTAAAAAAGAAAAAACTGGACTGTCACTTTTTCATATTTTTTATAGTTGTTGTTACTAAATTATATTTTAGTGCATGTTCGTGTGATCAAAAATTAACGGCTGTTGTCCATTAACATCTGGGGTGATGTGTGCAGCAGGGAGCAGGGGGCGCCAAACCAGGATCTCATCTAGGGCTTCTGAACAGTTTAAACCAGCTCTGAGAACTATGCAAAGGTTTTAGGCAGTAATGAAACAAAATGCTACACAGTACAAGTTCTCTTGGTTTTAGAGAATTCAGTGTTAGCACAAAGAAGACAATTCAAGAGAGAATTTACTTCACAGCAGTATCAATTCTTTAGGGTACAATACACTGTTTTCAAGGAAAATCAGCAGGCCTGTTGTTCCAAACATTTTTGGAAAATTAAGCCCAGATTTTCAGTGGATGTAGGCTTGCTGAATCCTTTCTGTCTACAGATGTTATACCAGGCACACCCAGTTCTGTTAAAAATCATGGCTCTGTGGGGGCCACTTCCAGAGAGCTGCGTCCCTCTTCCCGCTAAAGATAGTCCATAATGATGTTAACTGATTGTACAGCATGGGGTCATTGTCCTGTCATAACCCGCAATAACTTTGGACCCCACCAGATATACTACTGATGGTACTGTATGATGGAGTCTCACAGTATTGAGGACTCTTTAAATACCGATTATATCCTCTGACTCCCTTGCTGAAACGCAGCCCCAAATTTGTAAATCTGCTATTGCATATTTTTTATTTATTTTCATAAGGTCATTGTTAGCTAGCATAAAACATCTTCCCATTTAATAAAGGGACTAAAACAGGAACCCTGCTACATTGGGTTATATTAGTCAGCTATTCTGTCTGTGATCCTTCAATCACTAAGCCATATAGAGACACTCATAACTATGGTCAATTCAAGAAAACAATTCATACATTCACAGCTCCATACCTGATGACCATTAGTTACCATCAGAGCTTACACTGCTGACCTTCAGACTCTAAAGCAAGAGCACTATGAGCCACCATGTGGCTTTATATGAACCAAATTACTTGTGGGAACTCGTTTAGACAGGAAAGTCTGACAGAACTAATTCACTCTCATGCTGCTCTGTTTTAACCCAGTGGTCCCTAAATGTTTCTACCTGCAATTTCACTAAAATAAACCAAACCACAACAGCAAAATAAAGTCAAATCCTCTTTATTTGAGGCATTTATTTGTAAAAGGCTTTGCAGAATACGTTCTTTGTGCAAAATGAACACAATCCCTAAATTTGTGAGTAACATTATCTGAACCAAAATGTCTTTACATGTTCATGACGACCAATGTGTACACCAACCCTGACCGTTGTAACCACTTTGGAAGATTTGGTGGAAATGTGGGTACATTTCGAGTAACCATTAAGGGGTTGGAAAAGAGCGTGCAGAGACCAACAGAAACATCCTCCCCATAAATGGGCCACAATGTTCTTGAGCAACAGCAATAATCCACAGCTATTTTGGGATGAACACTGTCACTATTAGTGATAAGTTGAAAACAAAACAAGGTTTCATCCTTCAGCCATTTCCTCTTATTTAGGGGTTGCCACAGTGGGAAATCCCCACAGTGGTGTTGGTGTGATGCCCTCCTGATGTAACTCTCCACGTGGAACATGTCCTGGCATGAACTGACATGGGAATAAAAGGCACATTAGGTGTGAATTAAACAGCCTCCAGGGCCGCTCACGTAGTAGCTGCGTCTGAACCTTGGTCCTCTTTGTGGAAGATAAACTCCCTGCCCTCTACTGTAAGAAAACAACTCCCACCAAGTGTAATTGAGAATGTGGTTTGTTTTTACACCAGATCTTTGTCTGTGATAGACATCAGCCACACTTAAAGTGTTAAGGAAGTATTTTTACTGACATGATTCATACCGTTTATAAAACCTAACCACAGAAAGAAAACATACAAGGAGTCATGCTGTGATGAGGACCATTACACAGTCAGCACTACTCATTAGCCACCTACTATTGCCATGATTTAGAGTCAGTGAGGCCTTCAAGTGCTAACCCCATCGGCCCAGATTTGCTTTTGTGAGTTACATCCGTTTCCTGTCTGTCATCGTAGCTGCTCTCAGAGTTTTAAATCAATCTCTAAATCACTGTCCAACCACTGAGTTCATGTTGAAACACTGCTTCCCCATCTTTCCTATCTGCCCCCCCCCCCTTCCCTCCTCTTCCCTCGCTACTAAACACCTACGAAGTTTTTCCTTTGGAGCCTCATCCATTAGAGGCGCACATGCACTTCAAATGTTGTTGAGTTAACGAGAGATGCAAACCTCTGACCACAACTGCCCCTAAACCAATGCTCCATGTTTCCTGTGGGATCATCAGCTGTTTCCTTAAATATACTGCAATTTGCCATTCTCTGCCTGTCCTTGGCCCACACACCATTCACCCAATCAGAAAAGCCTCACTCCCACACTTCCTTCCTCGTGGACAAAGCCATTTTTAATACTCCCCTTTCCTTCACGGGCTGCTAAAACACTTATAGTATGTGTGTCATGAGGTATGATTAATATATTGTTACTGCCGGGAAAGAAAAAAAAATTGACGGCGTGTGTAAACATAATAAAAAGAAGCATTTATTTGCCAGTTTGTGCAACTCTTCACAATTTGGATTTGCTGCCACTCAAACACTGGATGTTTTTGCCCTCAGAACACCTTGTAATTAAAGTGGAAGTTTGATTGAATCCATAATGATTTTTGCTGTGTTTCCAAAGCCTGCAGGCGTCCCACTCTACACCTGCCTCTCACCTTCCCTTCCCTGCACTGACTGATGTGGTGCCTCACCCACACCCAGAAAGATTCCAACCATATCCCAAAATAACCCCCGATGTTGAGCAGCACTGAGGTCAAACGGTGGTATTATTGATCTGTCTAAACAAGACAAATGTAACACTTATCCAGTAGAAAGTTTGAAAAGCGTAAAGAGAAAAAAAAAACACTGCAAGATATTGAAAATATAAGCCATGTGTAAATATTAGATCACCAGCAGGTGAGGTCATTAAGTAGGTCTGAATAATTGCTTACATTGTCTGAGCTATGGTTGTACTGTTTGCACTGTAATAGCTTGTGTGATTGTACATTATATATTATAGCTCCCACGCTCTCTTTCATCCCTCCCATGTTCTTCCCCCTCTGCTCCTCCGCCCCAGCCCCCCATCTCTCTTTGCAGAGGCAGATGGTAACACTGAGCCTGGATCTGTTGGAGATTTCTTCCTGTTAAAAGGGAGTTTTTTTTCTCCCACCACAGCCAAAAAGCTTATTCAGTGTGTGATTTAATTTGTTTTTCTTACTCTGACTTACTCGGCTTTACTCTGTATTGTTAATATAAACTCCTGTAATACAGATAGTTTAGGAAGATTGTTTACATTTTAATTACAAAACTTGTCCGTTGAATACATTTAGTGAAACGGAGCTGCAAAAATAACATTGACTTCAGAGGACTTGACTAAATAAAAGAAAACATCATCTACAGGAAATTTTAAGAGGGCAGCGGTATTCGAAACAGGCCAAATAATAGTGAAAAAAAAACCTCAAATTGAGCATTTTCTACTGTAAAATATCATCAAGATTCACTTTTAATGCATTTTACTGAAATATCTGTATCGCTGATTAATGTTGGTGGAAAATGATATTGGTTATTTAATTAAATTTTCCCGCTTGTTCAACTAAAAACATTAGTTGTCAGCGGAACAAATAAATGTAACTTTATGTTGCCAACCTGAGGTTTAATAGTTGAAGTCTTTGGGATAATAGGGCTACTTTTCATCTAAATTACACAGTCAACAAATACTTTGACAAGTTTAAATGGTCCTAATCACTAGTCTTAGAGAAATTGATGACGAAGCACCAAAGACAGTCAGTTTAATACAATGGTTGGAGTTTAAACATCGCTAGGCTCCATCTCCTCTTGTGCATTTTTCACTAAATGGGATCAGAACTTAACCAAGTCAACATCAAAACCCAAGACATGCACAAAACATGGTGGTTCATTTTAACTGCTTCACATTTGATTCATTGTCAATGTTATTCACCAATTGCATATTTAGCTCCAGTAGAAGTGTTCGGTGTCAGAAGGGGATTTTTTATTTTATCTTTTAGAACCAACGACCATCATTCAAACATTTGCGACTCGAAGGATGCACGTCAGCAGATTTGTGGGTTCTTTCTTTTTCTCTCGTCTATTCAATTATCCTTAACAGTAATTCCAGCAGATAGAAGAAGAGAAAACGCTGACATGTTAAATGGGAAACTGTGGCAAATGAAGACCAGATAGACAGCAAACTGTATTAAAAGAAACACTTGTGGAAGGAATTCGATAGGAAGGAAGTGATCATACACCATATTTATAGCTGTTTCTTGGGAAATCCAATGGTCAACACAGCAGAGGCCAGAACGTTACCTCTGCTCTTCCAAATGCATCTCCATCTAGGCAGCCAAAGTTGGGGTCACACCCTTCGAAATGACCACATTTATCCATTGTGAAGACTCCATATTGATGTAACCCAGTTCAAGGAGGCGTTGAGCTGCAAGACTCAGCTGAACTCAAACCCTTAGACCCCTTTTTCACTTTTTTCCTCTGCTGGAGAGCTGGAGATGGTCGTTGGAAAACCCCCTCACTGTAGCAGTCAAGCCAGCGTGACTTTCCCCTCAACTGACTTTCCCTAAACTGGAGTGTTTCTACACCTCTGCTCGAGCCACATGAAACTCATTTACACCATGACACAGTGAAATTCCACCCATGGACGGTGACCAAACACATGTAGTCTTCATGAAAGGAAGCAATCTTAATCCAGGAACAATTCTGCAACGTTACACATGCAGTGCTTTCATGCTTGGAGATGGAATGTGCGTGTAGTACCGCAGAATTAACAGGTGCATGTGTGGTGCAGGTTAGTGCCAGACATCAATGATCCCTGCTCTGGTCGCAGCTGCACAGCGGTTCATAGTCACAGGTTTTGATTGAAGTGATAAAATAGTACAACAGTACCTCTGGTATGTTGTAATACTGAAAATAACTATCACTTAACAATAACTTTGGGTCAAACCTGCTGTTTGCTCCAGTACTTTGCAGATCCAATAAGATTTATTAGACTTATTTTGGCAGCAGCCTATTTCTAGCTGGACATGTTGAACTGCAGAAGCTGCTGAACGAACACTTTCTCACATTTGTGCAGATAATTTATCCAGTGTGAAAGGCAGCCAGCACCGGTTCCTCCTCTACAGTCGTGAACCTAACAAGTTTTCTACCTTAGAAGGAAAACAAATACATTTTATATTTGTTTCAGCTCTTGTTGACCTTATAAGTACCCGTCATAAATTTGGCCAAAGGTAGTTCCATTACAGAACAACAACTGCTGTTTAGTGTGAACAGCAGTTGCCAAGATCAGTGGGATTTACTGCAGCCAAGTTCTTCTAGCAACAAGGGAAAACCGGCCCCCACCAGTATTTCACAGAAATCTGTAAAAAACAAAAGTCTTGTAAAACACTGGTGTCGTTTCACTTCTTAGACAACACGTCTACTTACAGATGCCTTCAGTCAAAAAAAAAGTGCTTTCATGCAAGCAAGGTTCTCATCTTTTAAGGTGGATTACAATGGGTGTCAAACTGACCTGTGTAATCTATTATCCATGGACATTTTTAAAAGAGAAAAGGACAAAAAATCCATTTGCCACAAGTAAAAGAGAGCAGGAAGAAAAGATGGTGATAATTCCATTCATTCTTTGCATGACAGTAGCACATACAAGAGACTGATAACTGAGCCTAATGTCTTCAATATGCTGCTGCTCCAGCACACACCAGGACACTAAACATTGATAAAGTGTGTGCTGTTTCTCATCCTAAATCAGAGCAGAAATTCGACCATGATAGTCATTAACCTCTTCCAGGAAATTTCATCCTCTACAAAACCCTGACACTTGGTCATAAATAAAACATCTGCATTCTACATGAGAAAATAAGCCTTTTTAGATTTCTGAAAACATGCTTCCTCCCAAAAATAACCCAGAGTTAGTCAAACATTACCAGTATGTGTCCAAGCCCTTCACTGTGCTCCTGTTAATCCTCTCATTGAAAGCCTATGATCAATACTGTTCACAGCCCTGGCTTTACTGAGAATGAGGGTGGGGAGAGAAGCAAGTGTGCAATATTTTTTTTTTTTTTGCTGAATGACAGCCTACCTTTTCCAGCAGCTTTCTTTCTGTCTCCTCTGCTTCTGTCTTTACTTCCTCCTCCACCGCCCCTCAGTCACTCACTCTGGACTTTTACTGGCCGGCAGCCACTGTCGATTAGCATGGGTGGAAAGAGAAACAGATAAGAAAAGCATAAATATGGTGAAGAGGAGAGCCTATCACTGATGAGCCAGAAGGAAAATAATTGTAATGAGCACTGCCTCCTTCCAATGGTTGGGGGTTTGGGTTGTGTGAGAGTTTGCTACGGGTAAACCCAGAGAACATGGAGATTTCTGGATGCAGGACAAACAGAAGTTTCACTAGAATGAATCACATGTGCCATAATGTGCATTGACCTGAGGTGTTGCTCAACAAGCAATTACAGATTATCTCGCAGCACTGAGTAAAAGGCTCTACAGTTCACTTTCTGCACAAACAGCTGGGAGATTTTAGAAAAGTGCAGGCGGATCTGCCGTCAGCAGAGCGGGCAGATATCAGTTTAATCCGTACTAACAAGTTTTATCTTGCTGGTGCTCTCTGACAGCCTGCTCTACATCAATGGACAAGCGCCTCAGTGTTTTCTACTCAACAGTCTTTAAACCCCTGATAGTGTCCTGAACACAGCACTGTAACAGTAGTTTATTTACTTTATACTTTTGGTAACATTGTGCAGAAGATTCTGATATAGACATGTTTAATGAAATCCAGGAATTCGGAAGAATGAAATATTCATTAACACTTAATTAACATTTCCAGAAAAGAAGTTAGTAAAATATTTAAATTTAAATTTCCAGACAGTGTACTGGGCCTGTTGCCATACAGTTAATACACATGTGAAGTAGTTATAAAACGAAGAAGAAATCTTTAAGGAATTATTTTAAAAACCATGGGCAGAAACTACTGCTGAATGTGCTGGCCTTAGGTGGTACTGCATTAGGAATACCAATGTCACATTGACTCCCCAAGGATGATGCAGAGGTACATCACTTCTATTGTAAATTTGCTTTTGACACCAATTTTTGGATTATATTGCAAATTCTAGATAAATGTTAGATAAATTTACAATATTAGCTGTTGAAACACTGTAATTCCTAGAAAACTGATATTCTCATTTAACAATAACAGTGGCACGAATGAAGAGAACACTGAAATTGAAATTTATATGCCTTGCAACTGCTTCGTGCCTTCTGGGGGGGGGTCCCTCCCCCACTTTGGGAACCAAGTGTCTAATGTATCTCATGTTAAAAAAAGTTAAATGAATTACCAGTATAAAACTAGTATAAAAGTATTTTTTGCATACCATATGTTAACTTTAGTTTAAAAAAACCGACATCACAACTTAAAATTAAGATTGTACGTCACAACTTAAATCACAACTTAAAATTAAGATTGTACGTGAAGATCAAAAAAGGCTCAACTGCTCTCCCTGTTTTTTTTTTTAATTTTTTTTTTTATCTTTGTTTTGTTTTTTAAAACTGATTGTGAAGCTCGATCACTTTTAAGTGGTTTTCTGTGAGACTGAGCTGCAGTGGTTTCCCAGAGGATGGACTGGTTGACCCTGAGCCTCAGCACACTCTGGTGGACCACACAGGCATAAACTGAAGTAGAAGAGTTTGAAGGCGAGGATTGACCAACTTCACAGCAGACTTCACTATGAGAGGCCACTGTCTTTGTGAAATGTTGCTAGGTCCCTTTAACAATGGGATGGTTAATATATTTCACCACTGCCATTATCTAAATCAGGATACAGCCCAATGTTGCTAGAGGACATTTAAAGGAAAAGTTGATCCCAACTGTCAACGTGACGGTTGATGCTGCTTTCGAAGGTTTTTATTTACCCGTATTCACAACTTGTCCCAATAAACATAACAAAAACAAAATGTTACAAATATTATTTCCAGATTGACTGCCTATAAACACTTTTGCAAATATACTTCAATTTTATGGCGTTACGAACTCAACTTGAAATGATACCATCCCTATCCTCAGCTACCAGTGACAGTGTCTGGCAGTTTTTCTTTAAACTTTTGAATCACTGCCTGAAGACAACGTAAAGTCACTCTGTCTAATACGACCTCTGATTGGAAGCCATCACTTCGAAACTCAGCAGCTCTGGGTTTTTAATCAGCTTACTTTAAGCCACATTTATTGTGAGCACTTGTATGGTTTGCCGCAGAGATAAATAGTGAGCGCGTTTGAAGCAAGTGGTGGAGCCCAGAGAGAAAACTCTGAGGATAATCATGTATTAGTAAGGTTTTCCATGACAGAGGTGGCCTTAGTGTCTTTTTTTGGTGGAACAAAATGGTGCAGCATGGCCCACAGGATGCTATAGTCCTAGGGGTGGAGGATGACATCCCAGAATCAATGAGCTTCTCAGGGGACTTAAATAAAAGCCAGGAAAGACAGCATGGAGAGTCACCACACGCACAGCACCCACTTGGTCCTGCCTTCACAAGTGTTTCTCCATCATTACAACTGTGGAAAAGCATCATTTTTGCTCAACTCACTCCACTCTTTTCTGGGCTGCTGAATGACTGGAGCACGTCCAAGCATTCATTGATCACAAAGAGGGGAAATGCCCTGGACAGGGTGTTAAGCCATTGCACAGTAGGTGTGGCACCTTCATTCCCCTAGAGATATGTATTTTCTCCATTCTCTTTGACCAACACAGTCCTCATGTGGAAAGTCCACACCAGGCCAGGACTGGAAGCAGCTCTGTGTTGTTGTGACCCAACAATGCTGCCACGGCTTCCACTGAGAAACACTGCTTACACTTGTTATTGTTTGTGCCGTCACCACAATCACTACGACAACTGACAGCAGGTATAGGATTTGAAAGATAATTCTAATCCTTGACTCAGATTCAGTGATTCCAAAAATTCATTTTTAATTTTCGCTTGCTTCCATAATTGTTCTGTGCATTTTTTTCTTTTTATGCACCTTTTGCTGAATGTTATATATATATATATATATATATATATATATATATATTGTTTTGTTTGGGTCAGAAAAGTGATGGCTATCATATAAAAACACTCAATTTGTTTTTTATTATAAAGAGCACATTCTTTCAAACAACTGAGAGTTGAATGAGCAAACTTGGTGTTTTATACAAATATGTCTTTTTACCATTCGCACTTGTCTTTGCTCCCAGAAAATTAATTCCTGGCTTAAGTTGCATATTTACATGAACATTTCAATTTATTAGAACATATATATATTCACATAAAGGATCCGTGGTATTTCTGTTCTTCAAGCTCACTCTTTTAAATTCACTGTCCACTCAGACGTTTCTCCTCTACGGGCGAGTCCTCTGTCTCCGCGGTGCTGATACTGGCTGAGTCGTCCCTCTGGCAGCGTTGAGCAGTGGACACCCAGAGGTGACGCAGACGCCCGGAGGTCCCCTGAGACCTGGGTGTCCCCTCAGTCCAGGCTGACCCACATGTCCCCTCTCACCCGGTTTCCCTGGCTGTCCGTTAAAAGCTCTGCCAGTTCGCCCACGCGGACCTGTGTCAGAGGAGGAAAGAGTCGTTTAGATTTCCGACATCCCTGTCTGCTCGCCGACACAATGTGATGAGTAAGAGTTTAAAGTCTTCCATGAAGAGTTCCTACTTAGAAATGGGTCCGTTTCAGACAAATGAGACATTACTCTTACCGTAACACGTGTCCACTTCGTCTGAGACACTGACTCAGCTGCTTAGCTCATTTAAACCAACACCATTCAGTGTAATGACACTGATTAATGGAAGATGAAACTACCTTGCTGTCCCTGATCTCCGGTGTAGCCAGGTAGACCGTGTCCTATGGCTCCTTTATCTCCTTGTTCTCCCCTGTCACCTGGAAGCCAGACAGAGAATCACCTTCAAACACACACTTTAGGTTCAACACTCAGATGACAGGAAGGTTTGCCAAAGACCTCATATCATTGTTAAATCAATGCTTTTAACATCTTGTATATATTATTAGCTTTATTGAAAAAATGAAGCTTGAGTGTAACATCATGCTCGAGCAGCTAAATGTAAGCATATGTTGTGCCGCAGTATTATGTGGAAGCATGTGTTATCTGCCGTCGGGCTGTTGAAATTTACACATTAATCGCGTTCATTAATTTGTGAAAATGAATCTGATTAATTACATATTTTCAACACATTTTACGCTCAACCGATGACCAAAGGTCAAAATCTCCTAAATGAAAAATGCATCCTTCAGGATGTCAGGATTAGGATTAGGAACACACACGTGAACCTGTAATTTTGAAATATATTGATCTGTGTTCCACCCTTTGTACTCATTGTTGTGGTAAAAATATTGAAACTCTAACAGTGAATTGTAGACAAACCGATTGGATTAAGATCAATTTTCTCACCTTTTTCTCCTTTTCTTCCGAGTTCTCCAGCTTCGCCATGGAAACCTGTTACGCCCACTTCTCCTTTCTCACCATCAACACCAGGGTCACCCTGACAACATTGTCAATAGGAAAAACACACCATAAATCCTTTGTGTGTTTTTGGTGAGAATTTTGCATGAGTTTATATTACAGTCACCCCTGACCCACTGTCATAGACAGGACTTTTGTGTGATGGAAATTCACTGCAGATTAATGATACATGCTTTTTTATTTGAACACCACAACATGAGATGAAGTGAACTAAATCTAATATAGTGGAAGGTTTTGTATAGCGTGGCTCCAAGAGCATTTATCAGCATGAGAGTCATTGTGATTAAAGAAGCTGTGGAACATGAATCGGTTCTACGCTGCATAATAATGTGGAAAAGGCTTTACAATCCAAGGGCAGCCTCGATAGTCTCCAAAAACCATTCAACACAGACCAAGTGTCTAGTCTGCGACTCCTTATTTGTCCTCACAGAGACGTGGAAAGTCGTAATGTTTTCAGCCCAGCATTTTCTGCCAAATACTTCAGCTCTATTAGTCTAGGCCAGGCCCTTCACTGAGTTTGCTGTTAAATCAGTCTGGAAGACGCACAAAAACTATGTAGTATTGTAATAGTATATGTAGTATATGTAAACTATGGAGTATTTACTAAGTGTGAAGTATCAGGCCAACTGACTGGCTTTTACTCACAGGAGGTCCCTGGGGTCCCCGTTGTCCAGGGGACCCAGGAGGACCCATGGGCACGTCACCATAAAGAGGACAAACTGCAGCGCAGGTCCTCTTCACTGAGTTGGCGAAGGTGGACATCTGTTCCAACACCACTTTCTTACAAACTTCGATCACATGCTGAGCAGGAAGAGTCGGGCCCTGTGTGATGAACAGTTATCAGATCAGTGGAGAGAGCAGGAAACCTTACTGTAGCAGTGTCGTAGTACAGTAGTTTAGTAATACAAGACAATGTACGTAGAAAAGTTCGACTTCTTCTTCACAGAAAGGCAAAAACAACAACAGCAACATTTCCTGAGGGTCATTAAAGATTTACAGCCAAACTAAATTAAACCCTCACTGTGAGTGACAACAGAATACGTTAACAAGAAATCATTTTAAAATGTCACGAAACACTCTTTTTTACAGCCATTTGTGGTGTAGATGGAGCAGAAGAGTTTGAGTTGTGACTACAGTAGATTGTATATAAATGAACAGAACGAGGGGCTTGTTTCCAACGTACCGGTGGACCTGGGAGTCCTGAAAAGCCATCAGGTCCCGCTTCACCTCGAACCCCTTTGACTCCAACAGATCCTGATAGTCCTTGTGGGCCGGCAGGGCCACGTCTGCCCCGTCTGCCCTGAGGACCAAGCTGTCCAGATTCTCCAACCTTTAATCAAGTGCAAAAAATAAAGTCAGCAGGACTCGGTCTATGAATTCAAGAAATTGATTTACAGTTTAATTACAAACTGCAAAGGAACCGTTAAAGCATATGATGCGATGCTATGACTCCAAGTGTGAGGTCGAGTAAAACCTACCTTTCCTTTCGGTCCCTTAACTCCATTTTCTCCCTACAAAAGAGTAAAATAGTGTTGGGAAAAAAGGCCCAAAGGTAGTAATGATTAAAACCTGAGATAAATGATTTAAACCTACTTGTCCACCTTTGACTCCTTGGATTCCATGGATTCCTGTGTCACCCTGTGTAAGGAGAAACAACATGCAGCTCTGAGATGTTGGCAAAAAATTGTAATATCAGTGTTTCTGCTCCATAAATAAATGCTTAATTAGTGAACGCAAACATTTATCAAATGAATGAATGAGACTTATCGCAACTGTTTGACATATGAGAAGTCTGAGGTCCGAGACAAATTGCAAAGAAATATGTTTATGAAAATAAGAAATTGGCTGTGATAACGTACATGTATTTCGTACATTGTACTAAATACTACAAAATACTTCAGGTGTCACAGTACCAGTGCTGCAAAATCTTCTCTCACTTCCAAATCTACACGTGTCATTTCACTTTTCACAAAAGTAAACGTTTCTGACTTTGGTTGTTGTTCAACGTTCACTCCATTAATAAACAGAGACAGTGTTAGCTTTGTACTTTCGCTGAAGGTTTTTTCTCCCAATCAGATTGGTTTACTCAACAGCGTGCCCCCAAAACATAAACAGCAAACGAGTGGTTACTGCAAGAATATTTGCCGCTTTAATCATCATAGAATACTTGGTAAACAGCATGAACGTATCCCCAGGGGAGTTTTGCGTTGGTTTTGACCTCCTGGTAAGAAAAGATGGATGCCAATATACTGGTGGCTCCTGGAAGCTACCATGAATAAATTATTCGACCAATCTATGATGGTTTTCTCACAGATGAAACAGGAGGGGCCTAAAAATGAGCACAACATCTGAACATCTAGGGGAAAAAAGACTACACAAAAGAAACTCCATCTGGAAAATGAATGGTTTTTAGCATCTCAGTAAATTATTTCATATAAAACCCACAATAATTCAGACATCAGGTAATTTTGCCTTCAATTTATTTCTTTAAAGGCTTATGAATAAGAGAGTATTACCTTTGGCCCTGGTTTTCCAGACACACCCACATGTCCCTGTGTAGAGATGACAAGGTTTAATGTCTTGAAAAAAAAAAAAAAAACGAGCATTTGGAAGAAGTGAAGGGGATTCATCTGGAGCACTTACACTGGGCCCTGGTGGGCCAATAAATCCAGGTCGTCCTGGCTTCCCTGCAGAACCTTTGTAACCTCTTGGGCCCTCAAGGATAAAACATTTGTTAAAGTGTCTTGAGGGACTGCTTTGCACTCAGTTCTTGAGGAATGCAAATTATTTTACATGCAAAATTTACTGCGTGCATGTTCTCAGTGACTGAGATGCCTAAAAAAAAAGTGACTTACGGTACGACCTTGGGGGCCCATTTCTCCTGCTGGGCCCTGGTGACCTTTCTCCCCCTTGTTAAAGACACAAATAGCAACAAGTTAATCTGCCAAGAACAACTTGTTTTCACTCTCAAACATAATTCTGCACATGATAAGTGACTACCTTCCTCCCAGTGCGTCCGGGATTTCCGGTGAGACCTTGTGCACCTTGATATGCCTGTTAGAAACGGATGACACTAATCCTGAGACACAATCCCTATATTGAAAGTCAAAACAACGTTTTAATTAAAATGTCATTTTACCTCTATTCCTGGATCCCCATCTCTGCCAGGTATACCAGGATCTCCAATAATGCCCTACAGACAACACCACTGTTATAACAACTGTTAGTTCAGACAGACAGTTTTCACTCTTAGTTGTTACTTAGTCTTAGTCCCAGTTTAGTCAGTGGTTGAATACTGAATACATTGTTTTGTTGGTCATAGTCATTCCAGAAAAATCACTGTCTTTTAGTTGAGTCACTGTTTCACAAATAAATCGCTCCTGTGTTGAATACTCGTCTTCAGTATCCGACACATATTTGCCATTTGGATTGCTGTTTACACGTCCCGCCTTCTACGCGATGAGCATAGCTTTCATTGGCCATCACTCTAAGCTGTCATTTGGACTTCACCGTGCTAGTTTTTGCTTGTCTAGTTTTTAATTAGTTAACTTAAGTGTCATCGTTATTTAGCCCCAATTCTTCCTGTTTAGTTTTGTTCTTGAAAATGAAAATCGTTGACTAAACCTTTGATGAAATTTATTGGTTGATAAAATGTGAGTGAGCGTTTTGACATAAAATACTGGAGTGCCAGAGAGGAAGTACCTTTGGTCCAATTGTTCCGTCTCTGCCTGCAGGACCTTGGATTCCCTAAACAAACAGTGTAAATTGAAATGAAAAGTAATAGAGTTTTTAAAAAATGTTGTTTCTAAATAAACCAACACAATACAAATGCATCTTAAATATTATGTAATTTCTTCTGCGATACATACCGGCTTCCCCTTCTCTCCTGCTGCTCCTCTCTCTCCAGGATCTCCCACAATGCCCTGTAAAATGATGGTTCGATGCAACAGGGAATGTGATTATACATGACATGCAACACTTTAATGTCAATTACTATAATAAATATCCAGGAGGGTTCTATATAGTGTATCATTGTGGTTAAGGCTGTTTTTTATTTCAGGAGTCTGCGATATGGTTAAGGACGTCACATTGGAAATCCATCCTTGTGAACTGTGATTGTATACAGAGACTGTAGGGGAGAATACGTGGGTGTTTCCTAGCATTTTCAAACTTGTGTGTGTGGAGACATGAGGGGATTTTCAAAAATGTTTCAGAAAAGTCAACGGGTCATTTGAGGACAACCCACCTGCTTTCCTCTGGGCCCGAGACGCCCTGTTTTACCAGTAGCTCCTATATTTCCCTAAAAAAGTTCAAGAAGTGAAGTCAAACAACAGATAGACAGAAAAAGAAAATATATATATATATATATATATATATATATATATATATATATATATATATATATATAATTATACCTTAACTCCTTGAAACCCAGAAATCCCTTCAAATCCTCTTTCACCTTTTTCACCCTATAGAGTCCAAAGTGTTAGTGAAATACTATTTACATAACTGATAGTTAACTTTTTTTTTTGCTATGTTAACCCACAGCAGCTCCTTGTCCTCCAGTTTCTCCAATGTCTCCCGGTGGCCCACGTACACCCTGCAATCGCATGAAAAACACGACCATTTAATCTTCAGAGTGAGCTACAAAGTCATAGAAATATCCAACGGTTAGTGGAACATTTGAACAGGAACAAGCAGGAACTCTTACCTTGAACCCTGCTGCTCCTTTTAATCCTGTCAGCCCCTTAGGACCTCTGTCTCCCTGTAAAGACAGTAGCTCTTTAATACACACATGTAAAATTTCACAGTAAGGAAATTTAGTAATTTAAATGTGATAAATTACCACTTGGCCCCAGAGTCCCCTCATTCCTTTCTCGCCTTTGATTCCTGCTTCCCCCTGAGGATGTGTAAATAAAATCTCATTAATGTGTTTTGATTACAAGCCAAAGTGAGACATGGGCCCTGTCAGGAGCATTTAAGGACTGATCTTACCTTTGGGCCTGGTTCACCAACGTTGCCATAGTCTCCTGTGTTTCCCCTGATCCCCTGTGGAACACACTGGACTTAATGACGAGTCATAACCTCAGCTGACATTATGCTAATCCAACAAGACCCACAGTACAGCACTTTCAACAACTGAATATGTAACGTGTAGAAACACTTATGACGGCTCTTCACATAGAGAATATCATTGCCAAATTACTGCAAAAAACAGAAGTTACCCTTTAGCTTTTAAAAAAAAAGATAATTTAAGTTGAAACTCTTTCACTGGACAAACATTGGTTTCAAGTCTCCTATCTTGTTATGAGTTCTGTTTTGTTTGTTTTTTTGCCAAATGGATTTTTTTTTTAAGCGACCACTTTGTTGATCTCCTGACAACAACAGCAGAAAACAACTTTGACTTCCATTCGTTCAATACCATCCAAAACAGTCTACGTTGTGCATCAACAGAGTCTTTCCAAAAATAATGCAACTCAGCTGCTGTATTTTCTACAAATTCACAGGCAGGAACTCTTGCGTTTCTATTTAAAGGAACAGTACAATTCCACTTTTTAAGTTGTGTTGGGAGACAATAGACAAAGCTGCAGGGTTTAGCAAAAATCATTAATACAATGTGAGGGGACCAACTCTGTTTGCACACATGCCGACTTCTTTGGTACCTGAGGGACTGGTGTCTTTTCCACTTAGCCGTAATTCACTGCCTGGGAAAAAAACTGAACCACTGCACACCAAGATGCCTTTTGTGTTGTTGGTTTATTTTCTCGCCCTCACTATTTTTATGCAACATCAGCTGGACTCACGCTAAACTCAGACGGATGACTGTAACCATGAAGCTTTACGGCATTTCTAAAGGCAGGCCCTGAAACAGGAAAGGACCACCCACCACCTGACATGGACAGTACATAGGTTTGTGCCAGGAAATGCCCTCCTTGGACGCTAGCGGGGGAGGAGATAAACATGTTGGGGATCTGTGATTTACAAGCTGGCAACAGGTCAAGACTTTAACAAGTTACACAAGGCAGAATCCCTCATGAACTACAGCTGCAGTTCTCCACGTGGAACCTAGAGCACGTACATCTCTGGCAATGCTGTCTGGATGTAGTGGAGGATGCTCTACAGACTCACAGTGAGCTCAGGAAGCATGAGGGGGTTTCCTTAGGTGCAAAAAAACGGTTTAAATACTAAAACATGTGAGTGAAAAACATTTTCCTTTTACAAACACATGTTCTCTGCTCTGTTTTGAAAGACTCCCAGTTCTGCGCCAACTCAATAACTGCTATAAGTGCCGAGGAGATTAACAAGTTGTAAATTTTAAAATCCTTTAATGGGAGCTGATGAATCCCTGGAGGACGAGGACCTGAGGACATTTGTCTATCTACTAATCTATATAAAGTATCATAGGCTCACGCGCTTATACTTTTTTATTATTTTCTCAGGCCATCTCTCTTTCATAAACTCAGCTCTTCTAGTGAAGGATTAAATAACCCCCCCAAAAAATGAAAACAAATAACAAACAAAAGATCTGACACTTTCACATGACAGTGAAATGCCCATAATGCCACTTATTAGCAGGCATTTGAAGGGTATGCATATTGCTAAACTGCCTGGTTTTCCTGTGTGTGGGATTCATTACATTTGGCTCCATTTCTTCCGAATGGGAAGAGGGAAAAAAACCACTACCAATCCTGTGATCCCACTCCAATTTGAGTTAAAGACTATTCTTAACCAGCAAATCCTGTGTTTGTTACAAGTGGTTATTTCAGGACTAGAAAAACAAATTTATTGTCACATCTGCATTGCCTTTGTGTTTATCTTGGACTCTGCCCTCAACTTTTTTTGGAGGAAGAGCACCAGATTTGGAGCCATGAAAGGAGCCACTGTGTTTACTATCACTGAGAGCTGCTGCTTCCAGATCTGTTTCCATCCTGACCTGTCCCTGTTGTACTTCTTCTGCCATTTTCCACAGCTTTACTGCTGATTCACACGTAAAAGCTTTAAGATATCCCAGTTCAGTCTGAGTTCACCACGGGGGTTTTGGATTCACTGTTTTTGCATAAGGTGACATTTCTTTACCCAGTTTCCTTGTCTTCCTTGATCCCCGGGTTGGCCAGGGAGACCCCTATGTGACCCTGGAAAAAAAAAAAGGAGCGTCAGCATGCTCTGAACTAGTTCAAATCAGCATGTTGATTCAACGTCCACTGTATAATTCATTCACCTTCGGGCCTGGTTTTCCTTGGACGCCCGGCTGTCCGTGCATACATTTACAGGACGCTCTCCCAGCTGTTAAGCCAATCTCTGCATACCCTCCGCACTGCCATGGGAAGATACAGAGTTTGGTTGTGAAACATATTTGCAGCAGATCAGGGAAATCTGTGTTGACTCATGAGTGACTCACCACACTGGAGAGCTCACAGCAGCCCTCTGAGTAAGCCTGCTCTGGGTCACAGGAAACATCCATTTGCTGGAGATCCACCTGGAAGGAAAAATGATGTTCATCTCTTTCAAGTCAGATTAAGATACTTTTTTTGTTTAAATTGATATAAAAAAACAACAACATACAGACACAGAGCCATCTCCTGTCGCACGTTTCACAATGGAGGTGTATCCTCTGTGCAAGACCGGCCTTGATCCGTCGATGGACTCCACACTGACCTCTTCACAGTCTATCAGCAGCTTCACCTGACTGCCTTTCACACTCAAGGCCAACTTGTGCCACTCTCCATCGAACAGTTTCCCCACACCGCTAAAGGTTCTGAGCATTCGACTGCCACGTGGGCTGGTGTAGAAGAAGTCTAAAGAACGCATTCCACCCTGGAACCGTAGGCCGACTTGGTCTCGTCCCTCGGGGTCGCTGACCTGCCACAGGTTCCAGGACCTTTTTGCTGTGTCCTTGGTCATTTTGAATGTCACAATGACTGAGTAGTCAGAAGGAAGACCGTCTGGATAGACATCACTGTGGTGCGACAAACAGAGAGAGGTTCAGAGCTCTGGAAAAAATCATACAGAGGCTATTGTTCTTAGAAAGTAACAGTAACAGATCCTCGTGGCAACATAGGGGTTTAATTTAGAAAGAAATGTGCATTAATTTAAATGGAGACATCAATTTCATGCTCAAATCCCTTTCTCATTAGGTCTGGACAGTTTTCAATAGTAACATCCTTTGCATATTTGGGGGAAAATAAAGGACAGTGGAGATAAGTATTTGCTTTTTAATACAATGAAAGTACTAATGGTACTAGGTATGTTACTTTCGGTGGAAAAAAAATGGATCTCTAATTGAAAACATATCATTGTCGCAACATCATAGCATTGGTATGAGGTAATCTAACTTTCAGATGCTAACAGCCAAACAAATATAAAGCTAAGTTGTTTACGATTAGCAACACCTAGTGGTAATATGTTAAGAGTAATGGTAGTGTTCCTGCCTCCAGCCAGAAGGTTCTGGTTCAGTAGAACCTAGTTCTGAAATTCTAGATTGTAGTGGTATAGGCTAAACGCTAACCTCATGTTGCTAACACCCAGACACATTTCATTTGAATGTAAATTGCAGAAAATGAATGCAACATCTAGTGGTTATAGATTGGGGACTAGTGGTGAAGTGGTAGGACTCCCATCATAGCACCGAGTCCCCATAGTCCCCAGGTTTGATTGTATCAATAAAGGCATCAAGCACAGCAGCCTTTGATTCACATTACTGCTGAGAACTCACAATCATGGTGATCCAATATGGCTGTCTTTGCCGCACCTGCTTGCAGTGATTGTTATTTTTGCCTCAGGCTGACAAATACTTTACCTCATGGTCCTACGCAGATGGATGGAAGGGTTCACTCTGTAGGCCACAGCCTCAGGTTGAGATCCATTCACTTTTTTCACATCTTTCGACTTAGGCACACGAAACTCCTCCAGAAGATTATAACCTCACGGTGAAAAAAGGGGAAAAATGACAACCTTACATTTTCAGGTGGTGTTTATCTTGTGAAACAGCAGAAGTGTTTGGTTGTAGTTTATATTCTCTTGACTTTAAGAGAAAGGATGAACTTTGATGCCGTATTAGGTGAAACCACCTCAACTGTGTTTCCTGTCAGTTGAAGTCAAATTAAGAAAGATGACTTTTGTTATCAGTTCAGTTTGTCTTTATTTAACTGAAACCTGCAGTCTGGTCTCTGAGACATTAACCTATCAACTACAGTTAACTAACTACGAAAATAATATCCTGTTTCTGGACAGTACTCATTTTTGATTAGATACAGTCGCCACAGCAATTTAAACCCACTTTTCTCAGATTCTTGGAAAAACAGATCCGTCTTATTAGGACCAGGTTTTGGACAAGAACTACTGTCCAAAAATAAAATAAAAAATAATAAAATAATTACCTAAATAGTTAAAAGATACGTGCTCTCACACACTGACATCTACTGGTCAATGCGCTGTAATACAGCAGTAACCTAGAAATTACAACCTAACGGGTGTATATAAATGTCCAGTAAAATTAGGCAAAAATACATTTTTTACTTTAATATGTTACCGAGTTTGTTTTAATTTTTCGGAAATACAACAGGTCACATAACCAAGAGCTAAGTGAAAAAAAGCAAGAGCAAGAAAAACAACATTATAACACATTTCTAGATCTTAGTAGGCAAGAGTACAAATATCCAAATACTTACTCGGTAACTTTTGACATTGGACCAATCCCAAGAAGACAAAGAGACCCACAAACACCAGCATTTCTTTAAAAACTGGCATTTTCCAATTTTTACTGACAGAGACTACTTGTGCCTAAAATAGAGAAAAGTGGAAATACATGTGGTGTTTTAAGTAAATAAATAATGTAAATAGGTCACGAGGATTTATCAGTTTTCAAATGTGCTGCGAAATCATAGTTTTATTCTGTATCTTAGACATCTCATATATATATATTAAGCTATATTATGTATATATTTAGTGTTTTTACTTTATTTATATTTAAAATTAAGATTATATTTAAAATAAATGCAGACAAATTTAAGAATTACTCACATATTCCTAAGAATTCTGAAAAAGTGTCCCAGGCTCCTGGTTCAGTCCTTTCAGGTTCCTGGTGTGAAGTTATATTCCTTCTCTAAAGTGCCATCCTCGGGTCACTGCTGGAGCTGAACAGGACCATTCAAACTGGAAGATCTGGGTCTCACAGGAACCTGGCCCCCAAGCTCCACTCCACCTTTGGTCCCCAGGGGATCAGTCTCTTCTCATAGGTCAGCTACACCCACAGTCACTGCATAGTAACTTAGCACTGTGTCGTCACAGTGGGTGATGAACAAGTCAAGGCCACTAGGTAGAAGTGTTGAACAGGTCGTAACAGCGATGTTGGGAAATAGAGGATTAAATAAAAGAATCATATTTTATGGCAGTTTCTCCTTTTTTATCTTCCTTTTTTATTCTAAGCCAGTTTTACAATCTGCAGAGTCTCAGTGAGAGAAGGATGTAGTATGTCACAACTAAACACTAGATGGTCTGCAAACATTCCACCCAGAGTGGACCACACCTGCAGTCAGAACCATCACACTGGGGCTAGGTGATAGAGAAAAGAGTTCTATCATCTTTTAAAAAAACGCCCATCAGCTAGGAAATTTAAAAAAAAAAGTCTAAACTGAATGAGTAAGAGTCCGTTAATTAGCCTGAAGCTGTTGTTTCACTTTGTTTAAACCTGTGTGAAGCAGTTTTGTGTAACCTTCGTTAAAAGGTAACAGTCAAACACAGTATGCTTCCAAAAAGGAAAAAAACCAAGAGCAGCTTTAAGATTGTACTGCAGCCTGTGGTGTATAACACGTTTAACATTGAAAACTGCTTATGAATATTTTATTTTTACTCTTTTTGGGCAGCCGGTGGCTAAAGGTGAGGGTCAGGGTCCTGTGACGAGTAAACACCAAATACTCTGTTACAATGTTAGTATACATGCACAATGACAAATAAACTTCTTCTATTAAGGCAGGGTTTTCAACTCATGGTGTGAGGCCGCCTGGTGGTGAAGAAAGGCATTGCAAGTTGTCAATTGCCATGTGTTTTTGGTTCGATGATATCTAGCCAGCAGCATGTGTAGTTGAATTCACACAACAGGTCGAAAAAACGCAGTCAGAGTCAGATAATAAATAAAATGAAAATAATCTAAGTTATGCATTCTTTATGTGTGGCCCGGTACCAATTGACCCACGGACATGGCTGGTCCGCGGCCCGGGGATTGGGCACCACTGTGATAAAGGACCGACTGTATATTCACTATACAGGGAGTTAAGAATAGACAGACTGTGTGATTTGTTAAAGCCAGAAATTCAACTAACAATTAAGAAAAGAAACACATCTCTGGTCCAGCAGCCACTGAATTAAAATTGGTAAAAAAAAAAAAAAACTGTGCATTTTGGCAGCAAGATCTCTGTTGTACTTCCTGCACAAAATAAAAAATATCTTAACAATGCTTGATCTGCAAGGGGCAAAGGTCAGGGGTCAGGTTGCAAAGAGAATCAGATCACATTCTGTGGTTCTCACCAATTTCTGGTGGCTTTCTGCAAGCAGCTTTATTACAAAGAAATGTTACAGTAAAAATTTCAGCTCCACTGAAATTTACTGAACACTGACATCGAGGTGCAGGACAGTGTGGGACAGGGGTGCGGGGGAGGGACCTTGTCAAAGGTCAATTCACACGCTGCTGTAAAGTGACCAAAGAAAAACAAAGGACAAAAGGCGGCTGCTGCTGAACAGACAGGGCTTGAAAGCTTCATGATTACGAGGTTTTCTGCTACTAGTTTTTTAATAGTGTTTTCAGTGGTTTCTGCAGTGCTATCGCTTTATTTAGTGTAGTATATTGCATTGCCCTTTAAATGCATGTTGGCAGTATATCCTAACATTATTTTTAAATAGATAGTTGCAGTGCTTCAAATGTCGCCGCGGTCCAAACATTAGCATAAATAAATTACAGTACATTCAGTAACTCTCAGCGTTATCCTGGGTCTGTGTGTCTGTGTGTGTGTGTGTGTGTGTTGTCCTTCATTAGTGTAGTCAGAAATGCACGTTAACAGTACAACATAGTCATCCCCAGGTTTCTCTAGTGTTCATTAAACCTCTACAGGCTTTTGTTCATCAATAAAATAAAATAAAACACAATAAAAACTATTTGACATTTTGGACAAAAAAATGAAAATACATTAAAAAGACAAATACTCAAGGCCGTCAACAATTCATCCTCACATAACATGACATCATACTGCCATTGAACAGAATATTTTACATCTTTGCAGCAATTTAAATAACACTCAACATATTTGCAGTCTTTTTTAAATTAAATATCTCCAGTGTCCGTGTTGTTTCTAGGGTGCAACTAGTTTCTGGGTCACGTCCTTTTTTTTAAAATTATTATTCTAATTTCAAGGCCACTGACTATCGCTTGGATCCCTTGGCCAGCTTGCTCGTGGGAGGGGTTTTTCTTTGAGGAGTGGGGATCTTGGAGGGTTTACCTCCACGTTGGTGGGACGCAGGGCGAGGTGTAGCCCTGGTGCTCTCACCAACTGTCTCAGACATGTCAGAGCAGACGGACTGGATGTCTGAGATGTCAAAGTCGGAGGCGTCGCTACCTCTGCGGCTGCTTCCTCTGCTTCCTGCTTTGCTTCCAGGTCGGCTTGAATTTCTTCTTGACTCTGGAAACACAAACAGGGGGAAAATAAAACCTCTGAGAAAATGTACGTGGCCGGTGACAGTGGTTAGTGGTTTGGCATTATGCAGTTATAATCGTGATTAAAACCTAGCAACATATCGAGATGAATCACTTATAAATTAATATTTATTAATTAGCTTGTATTGCTATCAGTTTGTGCTTTTTTCTCTACTCACCACCTGCTGCCTGTGCCCGAGCCTTCAGCACCGCAGCACTGATCAGCGTTCCCTCCTCCCCTGACTGAAATCCTTTACCTGACAAATATCCTGGAAGACGTAGTTTGCTACCTTGAACTGGTGTCACCTGTAAAAGACGGGACTTTTATTTACCTGCTATTCATAGTGATTTGTGGTGAACTGTGGAGCGAGGATGCTCAACATGCACTAACAGGCACTAGAACTGTTATTGTGACACAACTGAGGATCTTACTGTAAATACTGGATCATTTTTCAAATTGATAAGGTGTGATAAAAAAATCATACATGCACGTGCAAAAAGAATCAAAACAGTTTGTTTTATATTTTATCATCATTATTGATCAAACACATATTTCTGATAGTGAAAGAGAAGGTACTGCAGCCTAAACACATTCAAATTTGTAGACCAAACTGAAACCATGAACTTCATATAGCTGTGAATAAATGCACAATCTATAAATGGAATGGTTTTTGGGGGGTTAAACGTCACATTGAATGAAAACTAAGAACAAAATCAGGCATCAGTTTGACATTTTTCATGTTTTCAGTTGGATCTTGTGGTGGTGGTTGATGGGACTATACCTCTGATGATGATGTTTGGCTCTGAAAGGAGTCTGATGATTTAAGTGGAGTGGAGGATTTGCTGTTTGTAAGCCAGGGTTTATCATAATTGCGGGTTATGTGTTGGGGAGTCTGGGGAACAATGGCAAATCAAAAGACAGACATGGATTTTCAAATAAAAAAATACTACAAGAATCACTAGATGGAAGAAACACATACAAATAACAGAAGAGGAAAACGATTCGAGTTCGACTAATGAGCTGGAGACAAATCATAGTGAAGGATGATCAAGCCTCGAGTGCAGACGAATTGAAAAAGAAAGAAGCTTTCACCTAAAGCTGGAGCCTCTCACCTTAGGTGTACTGGTCGTGACTGGGTTCACTGGGACAGGACAGCTCTGACTGGAGGTGGATCTGTTCGGTGAAGCTCCTCTGGACGAGGGTCGAGATCTCCGGCCTCGGTAGCGGAAGCTGGCCATGACCTGTGTGGTGCCTTCAGGGAGGATGAACTTCTCCCGCAGCTCCAGATTGGTCCTGCCTTTAGCTGGAAAATATATATATATATTTCAGACAACCCATATTTAAGTAACTTTTTACATATATTTTAAATTTTGTGTGATGAAGGCAGCTGTGATGATGATGATGGAGAGATGAAGGCTGCCTAAGAGAGTGTCCTGAAAGGTTCCTGGAAAACACTGTAATTGGTTTGACTTAACAAGAACAATAATAATTTATTTCATTTATATACTAATACAAATTCTAAATTAAAGTGTTGTTTTTCATAGTTTATTCCCACAGGTTAGCACCATGTCAGTGATTTCCAGGAATATTGAATATTTGACAAAATATATATTTTACTACTACAGCACTGCCATGACTTTTACAGAAAAGATATTTGAAATAAATATAAAGTCTAATATAAAACACAAAGCTCATGCAATTAGACAACAGCAAAAGTAGGATCCAACTTTGTGTTTGTGTTGTGTGATTACGTCCTGGTGAATCAGTAGGACTGGAATTTCAAGTTAAGTTTTTCCAAACGGCAGTGAACAGTCTTGACAAGAACAGTGTTGAAAACAGACATGCAGTTTTAATCAAGTGATTAATGCTGTTTTCATTTGGCTCCAAGTCAAGTGAAAAGAACTGTTCACCTTCACGGTAACTCTGAGGAGTTGAACAGTTAAAATGAGAGTCCTGCCTTAATGTAAATACTCCCACGATTCAAGCAAATCAGAAAACTGAAGAAAAAAAAAAAGCTCAGCCTAGAGATCACTCACTACATGCTGAGAGAGGAAATAGTGCTTTTTGGATCCATTTCCAAAAACTTATTTTGGAAAAGTTGAGAGCAGATGATGTGATTCACAAACACAACTGCATGCACGAAAACCAGCCAGAGACGAGTGACGGTCGGTGGTAAGTCCAACTGGTTTATATGAAAGAATTCTCTCTTTCTCTGTGTTTCTCTCTCACACACAGATACACACAGCAGTGGCTACAACTACACACCAGCATCAACACAAGCAGCACACACTCTGATGTGCAGACACACATACCACTGGTGGGTTCATGGAGGAGGGTGAGAAAGTGAGAGATTTGCCAACCTATAGGAGACTGAGTTATGGAAGAGTTTGATTCCGAGCGTAACATTTTGCTCCCGTGGTGATGAACTAGAAAGAGTGAAACCCAAGTGGAGCAGGAGGAGGAACGGTTTCAGGAGGAGAAAGAGGAAATGAATAGTTAATAAAGGAGAGAGAAGAAGTGAACACTGGTCTGAACCTCTGAGTGTTCACACACTGTACATACAGGGTTCAGACAACTCCAAATTCTCCAGAGGATTTCAACTAGTTAATTCCCAAACACCATGAACATCATTGACTCTCTATGTATTTATATCCTTTTTGTATATATATATTCCAGGTAAACATTAGTTTAATTTTACAATATATTTCAGTAATAAAAGTTCTTATTTTGATTAAGTTGAATTTTTTTTGTGATTCAGCATCTATCAGAGGTTTTGGACTGTTAGAGTCCATTGAACAAAACAATTTTTAAAAACGATAAATGTAGCTGCAGCTGTTAACTGTTTATTGACCATTAAAAAAACATAGACATTGAGGCAACATCAAACTAGATTTCCCAGACTGTGTCACATATTTCCCTCTCTTGGAGAACTCCGACTTATAAAGGAAAGTATCTGATTTAACTTCCTGTGTGTGTGAGCTCACCTCTACAGGGGTCGTTCTTCACCAGGAACTCATCCAGAGCCATCCAGCCTCCTCCCACTCGCACCATCACAGTGCTGCGTAAAATACGCACCAGGCGGAGCTGCTGAGAGTCTCCAAACTACAGCGGGGTAGGGAAGGTAGAGAGGGGTGGTGGGTGAGAATGAACACACACTGACCTGAAATGTGCTGTTAAATGTGTAACAATATGCATTCAACGAAACACAACGACACCAGAGTTCAGTGTACTTTCTCAGAGACACAAATTACACACAGGTCAGTCCAACTGGTTTCTTCAACTGCAGTGTGTGCTGCTGTGTGTTCACATGGTTCCACTGGTGAACTCAACTGACATCATTTTAATTATAATGGTACATTTTTTGAAAAAAATGTCAAAATCAACAGCTTACTCCAGAAAATAGTCAGTGTTCACAGTGTACTGAATACTGAGTACACAGGCAACACACACCAACATGCAGGGAAAGAAAAAGTTACAGTGTCTCCATCATTATTTTTGACCAAATGAAAACTGCTTTCCAGTTAACTGAATGTCAGAATTGTTATATAAAATAAAACTAGATCACTGTGTTTTCTGTGAAATGCTATCATTTGATTATCAGTTGGGTTTTTTTTTTCAGTTGACTGTGGTTTTTCTACATGAGGAGCTGTGAGAAACGCCCAAAGACTTTCAGTTTCTTTCACAGTATCATAGCACCACTAGGAGGCACTGATGCAGTGTTTTTCGGTACCCGGACATGACAGCATGCACTGCAGATGTAATGGATGTGCATGGCTGAAACTGAATGAGGACATGAGCCAGAAGCCAGTTGGACGTGACCAAAAAATTAGTACAAACAAGAGCGAAATTAACACAGTCACAGCCACATGCTTTCTGTCAACAACAGATTTTGGTCATTATCAAACAGACAAACAGCAGCCTCCAGCAGTGCAGCACTCCGCTGCACCTCCTACACCTAACATTGAGGATGCATTTGACACGGATGCAGATCTGATGCAGCTCCAATGACACAACAGCATGAGCGATGGTTCGAATCATTTGTGTCTAATCAACCACAGTGTGACACGCAGACATGACCAAACACTGATGACCCCTCACTGGGTTCCTACAAGAAAATGTCATCTCTCCAAAGGTTAAAGTCTTGCACTTGTATGATTATTGTAATGATTTCATGTCACTGGTGATTATTTTAGTGATCAAATACATAACAGGTGATGATGATCTGGAGTAAAATAAAAGGCACAAAAAATAAAACATCTTAAAAGTTCACCATTTACCAGAATACAGCTTTCCAACACTGCAACGTGTAGGTGCGGGGTTAGATTTTGATTTTCCCTGTTTGCTATTGTCTCATCGCCGATTAAGGAGTCATGTAAGCAGTGAACCAGACCAAACTGTCAAAAAGAATTATTTCAATTCAATGCAATTGAATGTGGACATCATTACAGACTAGCTAAGACAACACCACTAAGGCCCCTACTCCCTCAAACTGGAACTAATTGACCTAATGAAGCAAGCTTTGAAAAAAAAAAAGTGACGAATTAACCCACAAGGAGCTACAGACCTGACACTCTGACATGCAGTTTGACAAAGTCTACACTACTTCAATTCATGAAAAAATAAATCTACTCTGCCACTGTATAACTAGAAAAGAAAACAGTGTCGAGGTCGAGGAAACTAGAGCACGAAAGACACGCATACAGAAAGCACTTGTCTCCAAAATGCCCAGCCAGTGAATACTGTATAAACCCCATGGACCAATCAAAAAAATATAGGCTGAAATGGTAAGAGCAGATCTACATTATTGTCTCTGGAACTCAAAAGCAGATTTGGATTTTAAAAGAATCGAAGAAAAAATTTAAAAAGGCAAAAGACTAAATGCTGCAATCTTAAAAAAAAAATATATATATAACTTGACATTGATGATTTCACATTTTATGTTCTAATCTAATCTGTAAAAATCTAAGGCAGTCTCCTGCTTTATTCCTATTCCTATCTTTTTTTCTACTTCTGAGTTCCAGTCTCTAAACAGCAGCCAAGAATCTGGGCAGTAAGCATTAAACTATAGAGCAAAAAAAAGGCAGATGAAAAGAGCATAAAGCTGGAAAATTCAGTAAAATATAAAAATAAAAGATGAAGCAGAGAGGTTACTGTTGTACCTGATTTCCAAGGTAGAACTGGCGATGAGGAAAACAATAAAAATATAAACAGGTTAGAATTCTTCTAGACTTTTCTCACCTACCGTCTCAGGGACGTTTTAACAAAAATCACTTCACACTTTACACAACATTGAATGACTTCATGAAACGGATCAACAACTTGAATCAAAAAGTCTTTACCCGGTATTTGTTGGCACCGATTTGCTCCACTTGGAATCTCTTCGGACATTTGCATTTTGCTACTTGACGTGTAACCTGGAAAATGGGCAATATTGATGATCATGATTCTACACTTGGGAGAATTGTGTGTTTTTGGAGCATTAAAGTTTTTTTTTTTTTTTTAACCTCATCTTCGATTTTGTCTGCGTCTGTCAGTGGTTTGTAGGCGTCTTTGTTGGGATGAAGAGCTGCTACAAACTCATAGTAGTCGATGTAGCCGTCGCCGTCTCTGTCGAAGATGTCTGCGACGGCGCTCATCTCCAAACGACTAGTGGGGAATTCTGATGGAGAGACGGTGAATGTTGACAATGTTGACTTAACCCAAGCACACACAGGGACAACGTGCAACAGCTGAGGGTTGAAATGATGAACTCACTGGAGGAGAGAATGCCTTCTATGAACTCCTGTCGGGTCACTTTGCCATCCTGATCTTTATCGATGCGACGGAAGAAGTCCATGACACGGGACTTCTTGTGGTTCATCCAGCGCATGTAACGCTTCCGCCACACGTCAAAGTCAAAGTTGGCGAATTCTTTCAGCTACAAAAAAATGTATTTACCATGTAAATACAGTAAAATACTAACAGTTGATTAGGAAAATGGGGAGTCATGGGGTGGCTGCACTACCTCCTCCAGTCTGTCCAGAGCATCGTTGAGTTTCCTCCTCCGCTCCAGAGCCAGCAGCCACACATGCTGCCACTTGGTGACCAGCAGGTTGACTCTGGGGTTCTTGGTTTCAACGTGAGCTTGTGTTGCAGAAGCGTACATGGTTTGTGTGGGCGAACGCTTTCCTGAAAGTGAAAAACAGAATGTTTGACTCAGCGGGTTTATCAAAGGGAATAGAGCAGCGGTTAGATCACTCCAGGTGACACATGGAGTCAACAAGAGGATATCACTTCATCCTCCAGTGACTCAGCACTGTGCCAGATGGCTGAGGTCAGGCTCTGTGTGTGAGGTATTAGTGAGAAACATACTTCCAGTTCTTCCTTTTTCAAGCACCGGGATCTGTGACTGGTTCTGAGGCTCCACGGCAGCCTTCCGTTTGTGTGTCTTGGTGATCTTGTCAACATCTGGTTGCTTCCTGGTCATTTCCTCCATGAACGCCTGCAGGAAGCAGCATGTGGTCACCGGCACTGTACTATAAATAACCACAGCACAGCTTTGGCCACGATGCCATTTTAATGTGACTTTACCTGATGTTCTGCTATGAGACCTTTGACCTCTTCAATCTCTTGTGGCAGCACTTCCTTGTCCTTATCGTCCAGACTGCTCTCAGCCCAGCGCAGCCAGTTCAGCAGATTCTCCAGTAGCTCCTGAGTGGTCAACATGTCAGTGAGGGCCGCAGCCAATCGCTGCTCATGCTGCCGGGCCCAGGCCTGTACCTAGAGTACAGCGATAAGACACACATAAAAAATTAAAAAAATTAAATTGTACTCAAAAAACACTTGCTCAACTGCAGTATTTTTCAAGTGTGCACCTCCACTAGGGGCCACCAGAGCACTTCAGAAGAGGCACAAATCAAGAAAACGGAAAGGCATGGAGTTTTCGTGAACCAGTGCTGGATATTGTTTGCTTTTTTTTTTTTGGTAGTTTCAGAGAATGAACTGAATATTCTTTAAATTTGTTTGACTTAAACTCAAATAACAACGATTATAATGGGAGGAAGATGGGACACAACCCCTTACTGTGAGTATTGGACATTCAAATTACATGGTTAAAAAAAATTGAACATTCAGCCTGTTGGAAATACCATACAACCATGTAAATATATATATGTATCATCAAAAACCAGTGATTTTATCCACAAAAACTCATATTCTGTACAATTAAAGGCTAAGTCTATAAATGTGGTAAATCAGTAGCAGATGCAGGATAAAGGTTGAAGTCAGTCTTACTTTACTGAACGTGGAGTTGATGTAATGGTGTAATTACACCCAGTCATACCTGTGTAATTATGCCCTGTCGTGCTGGTGTCTGTGAATCAGAGCACAGATTCCTATGTAGAATTAAACATGCAGCTGTAAACTGACCTCGTCAAACCGAGCTTTAATGATGGTGTTCCAGTGCTTGATGGTGGTGATGGAGTCTGGGTGGCAGATGCCTAGAATGGCTTCACCCATACTGATGGCTTTGTTTAAAGACATGCTTTTCTCCTCCAGTTTCTTGATGAACTCCTTAAATAAGAAAATTGTTTTTTTTTAGTAAAAACATTGAGATATGATTTTACAAAAACACAAAAAACAATTTTCCTTTTGACTGATTAAAATGTTTTAAGTTAGCCGGTGCATTTTCAGGTGTTATTTCATCTGCATTGTTTTGGAAGTTTAATATTATTTACAGACTCAGAGTCTGAGAACTCAGAGGACTGTTTAATGAAAACCAAAAAACAACGTCAGTAAAAATGTAAACTAAGGTATTGAGTAAACGATGTCACTGCTCGCCTTGTGCTGTTCGATCAGCGTCCTCAGAGCCTCTTCATCATCAGGCAGGCTGCCATGGAAACGTAAACTCTGCTCCGCCTCCGCCAACCATTCTAGCAGGATGTGAACACTTGAGTGAAACTCCTCAGCCTGTGGTGAAACAAACAGAGACCCGGTTAGATTTAGAACCACCCACAAAGTTTACCCTCCTTCTGCCTGGTCGCCCTGCAGCACCTGACACAGGGCCAGCTCCAGCCGGGCCTGTTTGGACACTGACAGGTTGCACACTGTCTCCCAGCGGGTGCTCAGCTCCTGCATCTGAACTTTGACCCAGGACGAGTCATCATGGCTGTTCTCGATCAGCTCCTTTGCAGAACGTTTTAGGGCCTGAATGCTCCCTGTCCTCTTTCCCATCTCCTTCTGGAATACCTGGAAGTGATGGACACAGTCAAATACTAATAATGAGTCGATACTTCTTCAGATACAACCCTTGATATGGTTGAAATTCCACCGCTAACCACATGAATATTTGCATATTTTATTTTAAAGTTTAATCTCATAAATAATTATAAAAAAATACTCTAAAATTAGGACAATCGTCTTCTAGACATCTTTGTTGGACATAAAACATCAAAAGAGCGGGGGTTTCCATTGAAGCTCCAACAATGCTGATCTTTTGTATTTAAATGTCAGTCCAACCCTTCTGTGGTTTGTGTCCTCTTTCGTCTTTTGTGATGAGAAAGAATCAGTGATGAAAGGAAAAGGGAGTGTTTTTCAATGAAAACTCAAACCACGTTAGGGTGACATCACTTTTCTCTCACGCGTTTTTTTTTTTTACCTTGTGGTTGTCAATCAGGCTGAGGACTAGGTCTATGTCTCCATGGACGGGCTGGTCCTCGGCCAGCTGTGGTTCCACTCTGTACAGCCAGTCGGTGAGAGCTTGGAGAGCGTCAGTAAACTGTCCCGAGAACAGCAGCGCCTCCTCCAGTTTGTTTTGTCTGCAAGAGAAAACAAACAGTCAATGACGAGGACTTCCTGAGTCAAAGCTCAACCTGATATTGGTTTGGACAAATGGAGACATTCATACCTTTCCACTGACTTCCCACAGACAGTGTCCCATTTGTCTCTCAGCTCGCTCAGCATATCGTCCAGTTTCTGAGTATCGTCCTGGAGCGATGTCTTGTCTTTCAGGGCGCGTCCTGTTCGCGTGGTGGTATCGTACACTGAGTGTTTGCTTCCCAGAGCTTTTTGGAACTCCTGCATTAGAAGGACAGATGGTTTAATTCAATCCAAGAAGATATTTTTGATTTTGGTTACTGTGCACCATCACAGGATTTCATTGGCTACCTCTCCTGGGATTTCTTTTTCATTGACATGTCAGATTGAATCTCTTCATGATCTACATATGTGTGTATATGTTATGATTAAGTAAGACTGTGTGTGTGGGAGAAAAAAAAAAGAGGTCAATGAATAAAAGTATCTTAAAGCCAGGTCATCCTTAATACATGGGATTATGTCAGGATTATTTAGTACTTTGGTATCTACCAAAGAGTGAACAGTGTGGTGTGTAATACTAGAAAATGCACGTCTATGGGCTAAATAATTTAACTCCTATAAATGGCCTCAATTGTCATAAAATGCCTTTCAGCTTGTCCACTTTGAATGGTATTTGATTTAATAGGTGGTTTTAAACCAGGGACCTTCTGGTAGCAGAGGTACGTAGGACATGTTTTTTCCTGTAGAAACTGTTTTTGAGGGGGGGGGTTTTGTTGTCAAAGGTCAACTCAAACTTGTCACCTTGTGCTGTAAAAGTTTTTTTTTTTCAAACTTGTCACCTTGTGCTGTAAAAGCTGCTGTTTGATTTTGTCAGGCTCATTAGCGATTTCCATGTCTGAATCCAGACTCTTCTCGGATTCCTCCAACCACTCCATCAGTTTATTCCACGTTTCATCAAACTAATAAGAGCAAAAAGAAACAGTGTTCAAAAGTGCACACATATAAAGTTACACTTGATTAACTGGAGATCAGGTAATACGATTTTCAGAACCTAAAAAAATAATCTACCACATTATCATGATATTTAAACAGACACAATCTGACCAATCATATTACAGCGTTTAAACTGCTTCTTCTCCAACACGGTTTACACTTTGTGCAGGCCTCTACCTGTTTGGCCCTCTTCCTGCTGTCGTCCAGCAGACGGCCTCGCTCCACAGACTTCTGCACCAGCTTTTCCCAGCGGCCCTGCACGCTGAGCAGCAGGTTTTTAATCAGGACCACATCCTGTTTCTGGCTGAAGTACTTCAAATGAGTGCCGGTCTTGTCCAGTTCAATGATGTGTTCTCTGTGGGAGTTGACCTCTGTCACAAAAACCTGCCCACATACAAAGAGAGAGTCTTAGGTCAGGTGTGAAAGAGTTCCAGGCCTCTGAAGTGAAACAGAGGTCATCAAACGTCTGTGACAGATGTGCTAAATGAGTTCTGAACTCAGAAGAAAAACAGATGGACTCATTAGGTATCAGCAGCAGCCTAAGATTGGACGAATGGATGAATGCACAAATAAATGATTTTGCTGTCAGTCGCCTCAGTGACCGAAGGCAAACTCTACCTTATGCTCATCAATCTGAAACATGATGGTCTCCAGAATGAGCGAAGCAGGAGAAACGATGTTGATGGTCTGCTCTGCTTGGGTCAGCCAGTTGATGAAGTCCTGCAGAGAGTTGTGGAAGTCCGTGGCCAGCTTCAAGGCTTCCTCCAGTTTCACCTGAAGACATCAAACATCATCAGGGTCATGAATGTGAAGATGTTACTATTTCAAACAAGGGTGCCGTGGTTACCACACCACTATGTGAGTTCCCTCTCTTCTCTTCTTTGCCCAGGCTGATAGTGAAGTTATAAATAAAGTGATGTGCTTTTAATCAGGTGAAATAAATGTCTGCTGAGTTTCCACAGCGGAAAAACATCCGTTAGCTGCAGCAGAGTTCACCAGCTCAGGGAAAACACGTGACAGTAAATGTTGTTTTAATCAAATTACAGACAGGATGACTCGTAAGAGTATTAATACTGTTTGTTTTTGTGTATGTGTGTGTGTGGATGAGTAGAGGAGAGGGGAGTCTGGCTAAATGTGGCATTGTTCTTGTTATTTAATATCTAAGAGTTTTTTTGGCTGCACCAGAGAAGTGACATCTAACTAAGAGAGTTGAGCCAGGGGTTGAAATTCACTCTAAAATCTACCAGAAGTAACAAAACAGGGAACATAAACCAAGGTTAACAGAAGAAGGGAAAAGTATTTGGTACAGCCAAACAGAATGTGCACCTCCATATCTGGAGGGAGCGTACTGAGAGGCTGGTGATCTGTCTTTTTTTAACTGCGTGGAAAAGTTGATGTTTATTCAAGACGGAAACACAAGTGAGACAAATCATGATCCGAAGCTGTAACAGTTCCGACCAATGAGTTTATATATTGGCTTTGTTTTATTTATTTCTACGCCTCCATTTACAAACCTCCACCATGGCACCGCAGAAGACAAAGTGACTGTTGTTCCATGACGGAGACTGTAAGCAGAGCAGGAGCACCAGCAGCGGCGGCGAGATGATTTTGGACAGGGTGCTTATGTATTGTGTGAGTGGATATTTATAGGCTGGGAATGGAAAGGTGAAAAATGGAAACAGCCTGCTGAGTATTGTTTAGAGTAGGAAAGAACACATAACTCTGTGCAGACACAGCAGTATATTTAGAGCGCAACAGGCTACATGCTGTAGCTGGGAATGGGATAATTGGACAGGAGAGGGTGCAATGTTGAAGGAGCGCTGAGGGGAGGGCGATGATGTAACCTTGAGTGAGCGGGGGAGTAGAGAGTGTGAACAGCATCACTCCACTGAGCAAATCTCCTGACCGTCACAAGTCAAACCACATCCTCGTGTGTGTGTGTGTGTGTATGTGTGTGTGTGTGTGCTAACACCATTTATTATCAGCACTGGGATTAGAAGCCTTCACCACCAGAGTCATGACTCAAGTTCACGTCAGCTTTCCCTCCCTCCCTGTGACTAAAGTGTGGAGCTGTATCATTAGACTAAGAGCAGGCCTGACCCGGTACCTTTCTCTCAGCGACCTTCCCCTGCACCGCCTCCCATTTGTCCTTCATGTTGGCGAGATCTTGCTCGGTGTTGCTGTCAGGAGAACCCTCCGGCAGCATCATGAGCAGCTGGCGACCTTTGTTCAGCAGCTCCTTGTAGAGTTCTTCCTTCACCTCCAGGGCGGAACACAACTCCTTCAAGAGAACACAAGGAATGTTGTGCAGTGTGAGATTTTTTTTCATCAATCAGACAAATTACGGCCCCAATGGGCCCCCACTGTTAGTCCTGCATTTGGTTTTGTCCAAAAATGGTGAAAGAATGAACATGGCCAGACACATAGAAATGCAGCCTCCTTGAAACAGAGGAATGCTTACACAAACATGGAAATATTCAAAGTGTAGAGTTACAGATTTAATACAAAGTTATTTCTTTTTTTGTTTTTTCTCTTAAGTGATCCGTCTGTTTTACGATTCTAGGAAACATTAGTACTCCTTTTCAGACAGCTTTCACAGAAAGAGTCTGGTGATCTGCCATCACAAATGAAGCAGAAAATAGCAGGTAAACATTCTCTAAGTATTTCAGTCAGAAAAACCTGAATCAATTGGCTATGCTAGTAAACCTGGTGGTGCCAGGTCATTTTCACACAGAGATAGAGATAGTGGTCTCCGTACAAGCCCTGCCATCTGTGGGCAGCCTTTCATATTAAACACATACCAGATGGGTGTTAAGCTGCTCTCGGGCCGTGTCTGGTAAACCTCCCACAGCCTTTGATGCCAACAGCTGACGATCTGTGTCTTTCAGCCATTGCTGCATATCTTCTATCTCACCATGGAAACCCTGGGCCTGAAACACAACAAAGCGCAGTCAGGACAAAAGTTGTCACACACACTCATTGTCAGCCACCCACGGCTCTGAGAGGAGTTATTAATAATTTATTAAAATATAATTATTAAATAGCAACTTTTAATTCATTTTAAGTTTAATCTTTTTCTGTCTCTACATGGAAGCAGAAACTAAAATGGCAAACTTGAGCAGAAAAACTCTGCAGGAAGCCAAAAGAACAAAGACAGAGGAAGAGAAACCCTCCCTCTCAGAAAGAGAGGACTTAAAGTACCAACTGAAGATAAATGAGCTCTAAGTTTATTGAGTCTTCACACCTGGAGCAGAGCGCTCTCGAGCTGCTGCTTCCTCTGATCTGTCTTTTCCAAGATTGCTGTCCACCGCAGGGCCAGGTTCTCCAGTTTGGTTCTCAGGCCTGATGCTTCCTCACCGGCACTGGACTCCACCAGATCATTCCCAGCTTTGTTCACCGTCTCTACCGTGGCTTTGTGAGCCAAAACATCGACCTGAAGAACCTGTGGAGATATGTTTGGGTTAATTAATTAATTAAAGAGAAAGAAAGTGAATTATTTGTCATAATGACACATCACACCACTACAAACACAATGACCAATCACCAAAGTGAGCAGAGAAGAACTTGGCAGCTGGTGGACTCAAACCTGAAACCTTCTGGACCCAAGTCCACTTCCTTAACGACTAATCCACCACTGCCATAACAACAATGTTGGAATTAAGATCCAAAGCCCCAAACAACAATCAGCGCCCCTGATCTTTGGAGCTGCACACCACCACTGACATTTATTTAAAAAAAAAAAAAAACCCTTCATTTTACACAAACCTTTACACATTTACCCAACCTAGATTTTCAACTAACACAAACTTAAGTTAAATATCACAAAAATGTCTGTGTTAGGCTAAGCTAATCCTGCCACTGCTCTACATTTACTACGACTACTCTTAGAGCTGTACTACTGCCACCTACTGGCTCATAATTTTACATTATTATGTCATTAAAATGTTATTACTAGAAAAAGTACCAAACTTTTTTTTTATTCTAAAATGATAAATACATGTCCAAAAAAATAAAAATAAAACACAGTTGAGATTTGTCTTACGTTGTGTTTTGCCAGCTCGATCTCAATAGCTTTAGGGTCTCCTGCCGTCTTCTTCTGCTCATCCAGCAGCTCCTCAGTGTGGCTCATCCAGGCCAGCAGTTCGTCCAGTGCATGCTGGAACTGTCCCAAAGCAAGAAGGCCTCCTTCCAGTTTGTGCTGGATTAACAACAGATTAAATCATTAGATACTGCAGCGAGTAAACAACACATCCCACAGCCTTTTAAAGCAGTGACTCACAACCCAAAACCGCTTAGCTTACTGTCTGTGCCTCACCCTGTGTAAGTAACCCGATATCTGTGCAGTACACCCTGCTGTATTGTGTGCCCTCTTCATTCTACTGCATCGTATTGTATTTTATACTGACAGACCTAAATGAGCATTTGTCGTGATTTATTACATCCTGTTTAGGGGCAAGTCATTTTAAAAAAGCAAGTCACTTTGAGACATCCCATAATGAGACGTTACTTATTTCCAACCTGTCGACTGATGATCTTCTCATCCAGGTTGTTCCACAGCATCTTCAGTTCAGACATGGGTTCCTGAATGGCACAGCAATCGCTCTCCTCTGTGGCTTTCTTCAGCATGAGGCCTGCCTGGTGGTTCAGGCGCTCCATCTCGATTTGGAGCTGGTACGCCTCCCCTTTGAACTCCTGACCAAAACAAGAACACACACACACACACACACACAGTTACAGCTAGTTAATCACAGGCAGAGTCACAGTCAAAGCCTCTGTTTGTGTACAAAACAGAAAAGCTGGTTTATGAATGAAGGAGAAACATAAACACAGCTGCAATGAAGTCATTTATCATATTTAATGATATTGAAAAAAACGTTTCATTTTCACACTCGGACAAAAGATTTCTACCTTGAGCTCCACAATCTGCTGCTTCACAGTTTCGAGGTCTGTGCCTACAGCGGACATTGAATCCAGTTTGCTCTCCAGGATATCCACCCAGTCAAACATCCCCTGTGCACAAGGATGGGAAGCCATTGTTAGGGAGAACAAAACCACCTTCGGTCCACAGGGAGTCTAGTTTCACGTTCAGTTTCACATTGCGCAATAATTCTCACAGTTAATCCGTGTGTCTGACAAACTAAAAATAAAAACAATATTTCTAAGATGTAAAACATCTACACAAGAGTCAAAGGAATTATAATTGGTAATTATGGTTACAAAATGAATACGTCACACGTAAAATTGTGTTTTAATCAAGTGTAATAAAAAGCAAAGCAATTATGTGGTTTCGGCTGAAAGCCATAAAATCTGTCAGACTCATAAACAGTGTATTTAAACAGAGACTACATGTAACACTTTATCTTCTCGCTCTGGTTATACAAGAAATATAAAACAAGAAAAAGACTTTTTGTTTTATTTTAGGGGTCTTATCAAAGCTGAGTTAAGATCTGTAGTAAAATTATCAAAGACCTATAAACAGCTTTAATGTTTAGTGTTTGAAAAAAAAAAATACCTGGAGGCCGTCCTGAAACTGCACAGCAGCCTGCATGGCTTCTTCCAGCCTCTCTCCTCTCTCTTTCCAAGCTTTGTTTAGATTCTCCCAGGCTGAAACCACCTGGAAAAAAACATAAATATCATCAGCAAGTAAAACATGAACATAAATCTGTACGAATACTCCACAAAACGTGCTAATGAAGAGCTTTAATGGAATCTCTCAGACCTCGTCAAGACTTTTCTTTATCACAGGTCTATCAGGTTCTCCACAGGCAGCCATCAGTTCTCCACCTTGGTGTTGAACCACTTCGAGTTCTTCCTGCAGCCCGTCCACCTCCTCCTTAAATCCCTGTGGAATACCAAGTGCAATTTTTTATTAAAACAATCATCTTGTGGAGCTTACATTTCAGTGTGGCCTTCCAGATCTGTTTACCTCCACAAACTCCTGCTGCTGTTTGACCACTGAAGGATCCACTCCAGGCTCCTCCAGCTCCCTCAGCAGGTCCTGGCTGTCTTTAATGGTGACCGCCAGAGCACCGTGGTCGCACCAGAACTTCTCTGCCAAATCCATCACGTCCAGCAGCTTGGACTCGCGCTCCTCCAGCAGGGCCTGGATGTCGCTCCACAGGAACACCATCTGGTCCAGTTTGTCTTGTACGACTTGGAATATTACATAAATACAAAATAAATGAATTTAGTTATAATTCACACCAGCAGTGTCAACGTGTGTGACAGATTTGGTTTTTTTCCTCTTTGGCACACAAACCACACCTTTAGCAGAGATGTCCTTGTCCGCTCCTTCAGACCGAGCGATCATCTCGTCACCGCGCTGCCGCAGTGTTTCATACGAAGGCTGCAGTTTCTCCAAGTCCACATAGACTGACTTGTTTTCACTGATCTGATCCTTGATCTTGTCAACCTCCACTGAGACGGACGGAGGCTGACGCAGGCGCTCGGCGATCCGTTCCAGAGATTCAAGCATCGGGTCGATTTTATCATGAAACTATTGAAGGAAAAATGGCATAGATGCATTTGTTACAATGATGACAATAAATGATGACAATCAATCAAGGGAGATGTTGTAATAAGATTGTAAAATAATGTATAAATGAATGAATTTTCAACATTTACTCATATAATAGATTTGAATTCTAAAAAACGAATTCATAAATGTTAATTAAGGATTCTGAAAATTTTTCTTGACATAAAAGTTTGGTTATCTTAATTTGAACATTTAAATCTTTTAAAAAAATGCATTATATTTATTTAAATGTAAAAAGTAAAGAGCAAATATTTACTTACTTTAAAGCCTTTGAGACATTGATCTAAACATTTAGCAAACATAGACGATAACGCTCTTTCTACATCTGTACTGTTTGCATTTTAGCACTTTAGCCTGATTGTAGTTTTTTGTTTGTTTGGGAGGTTTAGTTGCTTCAGGTTCACTCCTCCCACACACCCCCAGTCACCCACTGGTGGCCAAACCAGAGCGCTGCACACTCAGTCTGGATATGCTGGAGTTTTCTTTCAATGAAAAGGGAATTTCCCCCCCACTGTCTCCAGAGTGTTTGCTCATCATGTGATTCATTCTTATTCATTCTCCAAAATGTGTTCTTCAAATTTAGGCTTTATTTTTCACTCATCCACTTCTAAAGAGATAATAAAACACATTTAATTATAGAATTTTTTTTCATCTTCTCACCTGGGTGGACTTAGAGATGGCCTCATCCAGAGTGTCTGCCCTCTGCTTGACGTCGGCCTTCAGTTTGGTGTAAAGTTGGTCAGTTACCGTGTACTTCTCTCTGATGGGAACTCCCTCCACTGGGCTCAGTTCAAGTAACTGAGGCCCCGTCTTATTCATCTTGTCAATGTGAGGCTTGTGCTCGGCGATCAGCTCTCTCATTTGCTGCGGAGAGCGGATATTAGGTAATTAGTTTAGTGCTTCCATCATTTGAGCGATGCAGATCTCCTGCCCGTGTTCTCACCCTGAGTTCTTCCTGCTGCTGCCGCAGCTTGTCGTACTCGATGGAAGGTGGCAGGAGCTGGCTGAAAGCACCCAGAGTTTCTTGGAGCCACGGCCACATCTCCTCGCAGGTCTCCCAGAACTGACTGGCCAGAGAGTGGGCTCGCTCCAGCTGCAGGCAGCGCTCTGAGTTCAGCTGACTCACGGTATTGTACTTGTCCAGGAGAGCCTGAGTCAAGGTCTGTGGTCAAAGATTCAAAGATTATTTGACTAATGATTAGGGATGCAGTGATACCTGTACTACCCTCGGGACTGGGCCTGATAGTTCTTTCATACTCGTACTCATACTGGAAGAAATGCTGATTCAGCTAAAACAATTAGCTAAGTTTATTTAAATAGGTCCACCATGTCAGCAGTTTGGAGGTGTTTTTAATATCAGAAACAAAGACAGTTTGACAGATGCCAATGTATCTTCTCAGTTTTCACCAGGTCACTTTGTTATTTAACCCACACTTCTCTGAACCATGAAAACAGTGCTTCACAGTTTAAATGACACATTGTTTCCTGGAAAGCAAACTAAGGATTTCTTCTCACCATTAGGACTTCTTTCTCCTCTGGGCTCTTGCTGTTCATGATGGCTTTTCCCATTTTCACAATCTCATCCACAGCATCTTTGTGTCTCATGATGTCCATGGAGAAAATCTGAGAAAAAAAAACAAAAAGGTACAGTGAGTTTGTCTGGGTGTTTAAGGTATAAATGCCAGTGTGTGTACGGAACACACTCACTACGACAAGCTCACCTTCTGTGTCTGGAGCTGAGTGGTGTTTTGATCCTGTTCCAGCCTGATGTCGCCCATTGACTCCAGCTTCTTCTCAGCGTCACTCAGCCAGGACAGCTCAGCATCAGCAGCCTGTTCAAACTGGAGACGCACAAAATGGACGAGAAGTACGTTACAATGTTGAACTGGTTTATGGATGATCATTAACAGATGTTTGAAGGAGGGAAGCTGTCGTTGCAGTGTCTGGTTCACCTGCTGTGATTTCAATATGTCTGCGTTGATCCGGTCCACCTGCTGTGTGACGGTGTCACAGACAACTCTGTAGCGCTCGTTGTCCTCAGATACCATCTTGTCCAGACTCTCACGAGTGTGCCAGGGGATCAGATCCAGTAGAGAACCGCTCAACTCATTCAGCTTATCTGCCACCAGTTTTTGGTCTTTAGTCTCCTTGAGCAAGGCCTTGGAAAATAAGTCAAACCAATTTAATGTTTTAAGGGTATCATGTACTAGTGAGTCCATCAAATCCTCAACGTGAAATGTGTTTTTCTACCTTTTGTCTTTCTTGTGCCTGAACAAGCTGATCTCCCACTGGCTCCTGATCAGCAAACGCACTGATCTCCGCTTCTACTGCCTCCAGCCAGGAGTTCAGGTCCTGGTGTGTTTGGTGTAGTTTAGAAGAGAGACTCAGAACACTCTCCAGTGTCTTTAGAACACTGTCACCCATGGATGTGATTTCACTGTACTTGGTTTTTATACCATCAAGTTTCCCTTGAATCACAACCACCTCGTCACCTACAACATGGACAGCATACAATATTTATAAATCAGAGATTTTTTTTAACTATGAATAGTTTGGTTTCAAAGTCATAACAGAAGCCATGCCTGTTGTCTGCTTCAGCAGCTCCATTCCATTACTGATGGCTTGATCTACATTCTTCTTCCTTAATTCAATATCACCTTGTAGTGCCTGGAAAGCAAAGGCCCTGTTAGAATTGTGTCGCAATCCTCTTCAAAGTAAACAACCAGTGACGAATGATTGATGAACAGAAGGTGGAACATATTTGGTGCAACTTAAATAAAAGGAAAACATGGGCCTAGGGAGGAGTCAGTACCCGTTGTTCTGCCAGCTGCTTTTCAAGAACCTCTACTCTGTGGTCCTCCACGGACACTTCACCCAGCCTGGTGTGCACCTCGTACAGCCAGTTCATGAGCGCCACCTCATCTTCTCCAAACAGCTGCGCGTTTGCCAGAGCCTGATGTAACATCTCGGCTTTCCTCCTGCATCGCTCCTGCAGCTCTATGTAACTGGCCTGCATGTTGTCCAGTTTGGACTGGACAAAGTCCTTATCATCCACTGAGCTCACAGTCCTGAGCATCTGACCCAGACTGACTGCCTGAAACAGGTCTTTACTGTGATTCATAATCTCCTCCTCTAAGGCCTTGATGACATGGGGGAGGACGGGGGAGGACGTCAAAGAAACATAACACAAACAAAACAAAAAGTGAAATTAAAAAGAACTGAAATGTAATGTATGAAACAGAATGAGATGATAAAAAAAATCAAATAAAGTAACAGTTGAAAATAAAAACATAATGGAAAATAAAGACATCAAAAAACAAGCTCCTACCTTGTGCTGAGAGATCTGGTCCTCCAGCTTGGACGTCTCTGTACCGACTGGTTCAGAGTTGGACAGGTGTTTTTCCGTGGAGGCCAGCCACTCACTCAGAGGCTCCAGGGTGTCGTGGAACTGCTGAGTGACCACCAGGATGCTCTCTAGTTGTTTGTGCCTAATACACAGAACAAAGGAAAAAACCAAAAGCAGTTAAAATATCTGGTTAGCATAGCTTAGCACCAACAATATTTGATTACAACACTGGCCTAAATACGAAAACATCAGAAATTGACTCGATAACAAATGTTTTTTTAGTTAGGGAACTACATTCTCTGTGTTCACTCGAGTCTCAGCGCCCAATGTTTACTGTACAAACATCAGTGACATCACTCAACTAATGATTAGCAAAAACAACCAGGGCGAGTTTCCTGAAATGCTGTACTTCAGACACTTCTGCCAAAAACATACACTTAAAAAAATGTACATACAATAGCCCTGAACGTGAAGAAAAAGAAAAACTCCACCAAATACAGGAACAAAGTTTTACATCTTATTAAACCCAAACTTTGCAGTTTTCACATGTTTTGGTGTAGCAGACATCAACACCGACCTGTTCTCAGCTTTCTTAAGCAGAGCGTCCCACCTCTGCCCTAGGCATTCAATCTCTTTGGCAACCTTGTCTTTATCCACAGAGTCTGCCAGCTCTGCGACCTTTCCTCCCTCTCTCTTTATTAGCTCCACTGTGGGTTTTCGGTCGTCCAGCAGCCTCTGTAAGAGCTGTCGGAGGAAGACAAAAGAGGGAAAGTTATTGGACGCCTTCAACATGTTCTGACCACAAACATCAGTCGCTGGTGGGAAACTATAAATCTAACAGACTCACATTGGGTGTCCATTATTGTAAAAGCTGTAGGTTTTAAACGCTCTTGTTGAACAAAGGATGTCAAGTGGACAGGATAAAGGGCAGAGTCGTATTGTTTGTGGAACGTCCTGCTCCTTTGAACTCTGTACCACGTTCTTACCTTCTGCTCCTGTATCTGGGCCTTCACTACTTTGAACTCAGCAGAGGGAGGTTTCTGACTGGCCACCAGTTCTTCTGTGTCTGTCAACCAGCTGAGCAGAGACTCCAGAGCATCCTGAAATCTACCACAACGCAACAGGGCCTCATGCAGCTGGGCCGAGCGTTCAGCAATCTGTAGTCCACACGATGAATAAAGATATCACTTTCAGGGTCACAAACCTCTACCACAACTCCATCTAAAGTCTGGAATATGAACCTTTTTGTTCAAGGTATTCCACTTTGCGTTGATGCCCTCCAGGTCGTCTTCAAGCTTCTTGGTGCTGGTGCCTTTGGTAACATTTTGGATCAGACTCTGACTGACAGAGTTGATGTCTTGAAGGTCGGCCTGCAAAGGATCAATGTCTTCTTTCTGGAAAGCCTGAAGACAAATGAAATAAATAAATAGTCATTTTATGACTAGTGCCTAAATTTCAAATCCCAATAATTATAATAAAATATCTTTTTAAAACCCAGTACAAAAATTGGATTTTAATTTTAACATGATTCTACTATAAATATGTTTTTAATTATTATTTGCTTGCAGACACACACCTCTTTATACACTTTGGTAAATACGTACATCAACTAAAACTATATGAAAATACGAAACCTAAACGTAAGTAATATACGATGAAATCGCAGGAACAATTACACACATGTTAGTAAACTGGGACGGTCTAGTAATGTTCCCCGAGGTTTCTCAATTAGCATGTTAAAGGGAGATGGTGTAGCACACATTGTTTGGATTGCTTAAGTACCCATTACCTCCTGACAAGTTCAGAAGTGGACAACTGTGTTTTGTGAAGAAATTCCACTTGTCACCACAAGAGGTTCTTTCAAAAGACTTCAAAGCTTAGAGGTAAAACATCATCAAGGAGACAAGTCAGCTCAGTTTCTTACTGAACTAAACTTCTTGGAAAATAAATGACTTACTACTGACTGACTGACTGACTGACTGACTGATTACCTCATCATTCTTGTCCAAGCATGAAGACTAATATATAAGTCTTCAGTTCTCAGAGAAAATGTCTCCCTCTGGAATAATAAACCAATGATTAATATGTTTTTTATAAGGAATCTGTTGAACATTTTTATGATTTATTTCTGAAGTCAAGGGAATTTAAAAAAGTCAGTGTTGGCCAGGTCTCTATCAACTCTAATAAGGATGGTTCTTGGCTCTTCACTCTCACTAAACTGATAACAAGAGAGTTATCAGTCGATGTAAAAACATTGTATTTTGGCCCAGAAGTCTTTGC